TAAAAAGGAGGAAATCCCAAAACATCAAAATGCATTACATAGAGCGAAGGTGTCATTTTGTAAAATTTAATTTCCCTATTATACATAATAAGGGCTGGAGTGATAGCACAGCGGGTAGGGTGTTTGCCTTGCACGTGGCTGACCCGGGTTTGATTCCTCCGTCCCTCTCAGAGAGCCCGGCAAGCTACCGAGAGTATCTCACTCACACGGCAAAGCCTGGCAAGCTACCCGTGATATATTCGATATGCCAAAAAACAGTAACAACAAGTTTCACAATTTGTTGTGAGACATTACTGGTGCCCACTTGAGCAAATCAATGAATAACGAAAGGACAGTGCTATCCAGTGATATAGTAAGTAGGCATTTGCATATCGAGACTATATAATAGTTTTTTTCTAGCTCAAGGTCAAGTGTTTTAAAAGCACACGTTGATTCTCCTGCCTTGCTACCTTAGGGCAGAGGCTCCCTAGATCCAGGCTGGCAGGTCAGGACATCACTGATTTCCTAAAACCCACATTTCCCCGCTTCCTGTCTACTGCCTCCACTACTGCCTCTTCCCCCTCCCCTATGTGCTCTTTCTGCTACCCCTTACTATCCACTCACATCACTGTTTTCTCTCATGTCTCCCTCCTCTAAATATTTTCTCCATTTACCCACCTTCCTCTCTATCTCTCTTTCACTTTCCCCCACGCTCATCACCTGACTCCATGCATCCATCCATCCACCCTCTCTCTCTTCCTGGGCTTCATCTCTCACACACAGACATCACAAGACACAGCCTTAGCAAAGTGCCGGTGGTTGGACCCAGCCCTCCAGGACCAAGTTGAGATTCATCACAAACTCTTCCCAGCACTTCTCTCAGACCTCCATGTGAGAGCACCAGATCCTGCCCTTGAAATGACCTGCTTCAAACTTTCCCCCTCACTCAGGGGGTGCACAGCTGGCTACAAAAATCCCACTTATTATTTAAATCCATTTCAAATGTCCCCTTTTCCATGAAGACTTTCCCATTGCTCAAACTCCACTGCCTTTCCTGCCCTTGAACTGCATTCATATCTCACCTCCTCCCTTCCAACTTAGCTACCAACTAATTCCCAGAATACAGGTGAAGAGGCTGGCACTGAGTCACCAGTGGGTACCAAGCCCAACTCCAAACCAGTACAGGGTGGCACAGGGGAAATTCTAAAAGGAAGACAGAAATGTGTGCTGGTTCACTGTTCACTGGGTTTCCTCACTCCTCACACCTGTCTTCACCCCTCCCGTTTACACACCAGGCCCGATCCTGGCCAAGCCTGGTCACCTGTCACCCATATCAGTGGACACTGGCCTAGCCAGGGCTCCCAGTTCCACCCACAAAGCTCAGAACCTGCTGCTGCAGCCTGAGGCCCAGGAAAGTCATACTGGAAATGCAGTGGGTGGCAGGCACAGCAGAATCTCACACTCTGGCCAGACCTGGGTTCACAGAGTGTGAGAAAACAACCTAGCACTGAATGTTGGTTCACCACTGGCCCTTCCAACTTCTGTGGAAAACTAACTTTTCCAGGCAATGATTGTGAAAGGATATGGACCATGAGTGGCCTACCTATGGAAGAAATTGGCTGAAATGTTTCTTCAGCCCGTGTTGGGGGTAGGGGTCCACATGGAATCTGATTAAGTATAAACCCAACCAACCAGATTGAGTAGTCCCAAGGTGGTCTAGAGAGTGGGGTAGGGGAGAAAGTACTGATTCCACCAGGTTCTGATACAGAAACCTGATCTTTAAAGCAGTGATGCTGGATGGGGAAGTGTCTCAGTGATAGGTACTTGGCTTGGGTTTGATTCCTGGCAACAAACATAGATACACACAGAATTTCACATTAGTGAATCGCTAGCTCCTCTCTAGGTCTCAGTGTCTTCAGATTTTCAAAAATAAAAGACTAAATTGTGGCTTAAATGGAATTAGCCATTTGTTCTTCAAATGGTGATTTTAGTCTCCCTGTATGTCTGTTTTTCAATCAGTCTAACCACCCTTGACCCCTCCATCCACTAAACAAACCTTTATTGAAGTTTACTTTGTGCCAAGACCTGGGGTTACAGAGTAAAACACACAGTCTATTACGGAGTTTCAAAGTTGGCTTAATGTACATTTTATCTCTTGCTTATCAGAGTTAGAAGTACTATGTTTTCTTCATTAATCCAAACTTGAATAGCATAAATAGAAAGTATATATTATGACCACAGGAAAACTTTACTCCCAGATCCCATAGAGAATGAATATTCAGTTTAATTTTGTTTATTCCCTTAAATTGTGTTTTTTTAAAGTTAATAAGCAACATTCTAAATACATTACAGAGTTCCTTAAATCAATCCTTTTTATTGAGTGCCCCCACCCACCCCACCTTAAACTGATTCTAATTTGCTGCTCCTAAATCAGCATAAATTTGGAAATAATAAGATGAAAAAGAGAGAGATGGAGAGAACTACTAGAGTTAAGGCACTTGCCTTGCTGCAGCCAATCTTAGCTTAACCCCTGCCACCACACAGCCCTCCAAGCATGGCTGGAAGTGACCCTGGGACAGGCAGGAAGAGCACATAAGTACTTCCAGGTCAACGCAGAAACAAAATTCCCCCGTTCCCATGAAAATAAACTAAGAAACAAAACCTTTAGGCTGGAAAGGGGTTTCTATGAAAAGAACAGATGTTTATCTCCATATGGTTGCTCAGAGCTTTATTTTTGTTCCTTCTTTATAAGTTATAAATAGGTAACATTATGAAGCAACTGGGTACCTATGCTGTTATTAATTTAATTTATTTATCTACTTATAGAATGTAGCATTCTATGTGATTGAATGTGAATTTTTAAGTATTTAGAACTATATTTTGTAACCAGTAGATTTTTAAAAACTACCCAAAGATCTACCAAACTTCTTATTTTGGTTTACTAGAGTAATCTGGAGCTAGAGTAAGACAAATGCTTATGCTAGGCATATAGTTGGTCAATTTTGAAATACATGTTGTCTTCCCTCATACACTGATTTGGTATAATCAGTGCTCAGGGAAATGCATATTATGATATCTTGATTTTGACACATTCAATTTGGTAAGAACAGAGGTAAAGTGAGACTTGCTAACTGAATCTCAGAAGATAAACTAGTAAAGTAAATGAATAGAATTACTGGTTATCAACTTAGTGTCTTCTCAGATATTTTTGAGGAAACAGGTAATACGGATTTGGGCTTGAAAGATGGAGTTTGAGATGAATGATCAAGTATGGCTTTTTAAAGAATCTTATAAAATCAGTTTGAGAACAGAACATCATTATGTCCAGAGATTAACAGAAGGACCAAATGTGATTGAAAAAGGAAGACTGAGAATTTTCATGAAGTGTTCCAGAAAGTTAGGAGGCTTTTTCTTTCCTGCCAGGACTTACTGGTTTGATAACCACACAATATTACTGTGGCATGGGAGCTACATATTTTAAACACACAATTCATTGGATGTATGAGGGGTTGATCCACAGGAGGGGACCAGAAAGGATGACTCCCCCGACTTCTCATTTAGACCTTTGGGACTCAAACTCTTCTAATACCTAATTCTTACCTGCTTCCTCCTTTCTCAGCAAAGTGTCATACTTTGGCTAAGAAAAGGAAGAATGGTTCTTCTTTAGAGCTTTGGATATCCAGTATGGTGGCCATGTGCCATCTAGGTTTATTAAGTGAAATAAAGGTAAGAATTCAGTTCCCAAGGGTATGAGTCACACTCCAAATGTCCAATAGCAGCCCTATCTAATGCTGCCACAGGGAACAGCAAAGTATAGAACATTTCCTTCCCTGATGGCTGTTCCGCCTACACAAGTGGGTTCCTCAGGAACTCCTGAGCAGGTAATTTTATCTCCAGCACCCAATCTAACAGAAATTAAGAAGTTGGACTAGTCTGCCCCTTGGACTCCCTCTGAACTAAGCCATACAGCACTGAACCCTTCCCTGCAGCTAGTTCCTGAGCGAGCACTGGGATTTCATGCTCCTATTACTGCCAGTGTCCTGAGATTTCCTCTATTAGCATTTTGGAAATTCAGTAATTTCCATTAGTTGTTTACATAATTAATCATTTCAGTGTGCTTGCTGACTCTCTGGTTAACAAAGGAACATTTTTTTTTTTGTATACTATGGAAAAGATTCTTAAGCTGGGAGCTGTTCTGTCACTATCCTCCCGTTGTTCATCAATTTGTTCAAGTCAGGCCCAGTAACGTCTCCATTGGAGACTTTGTTGTTACTGTGTTTGGCATATCAGCTACCAAGAGTATCTCGCCCGCACGGCAGAGCCTGGCCAGCTACCCATGATGTATTCGATAAGCTGGGAGCTACTCAAATGAATTGTGATGTTTATGGTCCTATTTATTTCAGCAAAACATAGAGCATTAAATGACATTATTCTCTATAAGGTGTTAAGAAACATGTTCCATTAGGTATTTTGGTTATCTGTCTATCTATCTATCTACCTATCAAAACATCCATCATTGTTGTTTTGTTTGAGAATGGGAATGACTGGGCAGTAGGTGATGGAAGATATATTTAGACTGAAAGAAAATGTGAATTGAATTTGAAACCCAAGACCCTCAAGTGGAATCAAGGTAGCCTCAGATGGATTCTAACGTCAGGTTTTCACCATAAGTTTTAATGAGGAAAAGTTACTTTTATTTCTTTAAATCCTAGTTGTCATTCTGATTTGGCAGGAAGATGCTAGTAGCTGGGCTCCCTAGGCAAACTAAAGAGCACTGCAGCTATGTACTTGAACTCACTCTCTCTGAGGAAGTTGGGATGGTGACCAAGAAAGAGGTGAATGAGAAAGAACTCTGAGAGCAACCATCTTAGAGCACTTGCCAGCCAGTACTTTATCATACACGGTTTGCCAATCAGCCTTCTCCACTTGATAGTAATCCGGTTGCAGGTAGCTGCAGCCCTAAGGGTATGCCACTAAAACACTCTCCCCCAACCCCCCACCCCCGCCCTGCCCCAACCTACTTGTTATGGAAATCATAGATCTCCTGGATGTTGCCAAAGATGATATGTTCTTTATTTAGGATCCCAGGGGGAATCTCTTCCACACCACTGGTCATTTCCCACAGGTAGGTCTGTAAGACAGCAAGTTTCATCACTGGTGAGTACTGGTAAGAAACACAGAGAATGAACAGGCCAGCTTCCAGCTTGAGGCGCAGGACTCAGACAGGACTCACATGGTGTGCAAAAGCTGAGGTGGCAAAGAAGAGCAAGGGAGGAAAGAAAAACGGACGCAATTCAACTGATCTCGAACTGCTGCGATGTTGCTAGGGAGATAGCACAGACACCCTGCTCTTGTTTGCTGTTAGATGTGTGTTTGAGTGGGTGTCGGGGAGACGGCAGATCCTCAGACTCAAGTTCACTATGTCATGATTTTTGTTTTAAATCAGATGTTTTCTATCCTTCCTCCCCACCCCCCTGGAATCCAGTTGTAGTCTGAGAAAAGTTTTCTTTTCAAAAGCACTTTAAACTCCCCTGCAAATACTGTGGATTCTGGGAGGAAACTTTCACCCAGTTGGCTTCTGTTCTTAAGTTCAGGGAGCAGACAGCACTGAGTTCCTCTCAAGGACTCGGCTCTGGCAGGAATGTCCTTTTCCCATTCTTCTGTGAACTGAATTGTCAGACTCACCTCCAAGCACTCATGCAAGTCTCTTACATAAGCCTTTTCCGTCTGGAGCAGCTCAGCCATGATGAATCTGAAGGAAAAAGAGGAACTTCAGTTGGTCAGCATTAAATCACCCGTGTTCCAAACTTCACTCCCCACCTCAGCATGCATGCCATTCTTTAATATCTCTTTTTCTCCTTGATCAACAGCACAGGTCTCCTCCTTTCTCCAAAACTCCCTGCCTCGAATGACTGCCCTTTGACCATCGGCCTGTCTCTCTTTAACACGTTTCTGGCAGCCAGGCCCACGTGCCCTCCTCAGCCCAGTCCCAACACTCTGCTCTCAATGACTGTGCATGTCGACGTGTGGGCAAGGCAGCAACTGTTTCCATCCTACATCACTTGCAGCTAAAGCTCCACTTCTGACCTCATCCTCAGGGCTCTTCAGGAGAGCATTGGGCTCTAACCAAAACAGTCCACAAGACCATGTGACAAGCACGTTTAAGAGCCAGGAACCATTTCCCAAGCCACCACTGTTAAGACTGGAGGGGAGAAAACTCTGCCTGTAGAGTCAGGTATGAACCATTTGTTGGTCCGATCCATACCACACCAGGCAACTCTGACGTTGCACTCTGAAAGGAGGAATAAATGTTATGTTGAAAGGAAAAGTGTTTGGGCCAGATGCTGGTTGATTTCTCAGCACCCCATATGGCTCCCCACATATGCCAGGAGCAACCCCCAAACACAAAAGTAGGAAGTAGCCCTGAACACCTCTGGGGGTTTGAAAACACACACACACACACACACATACACACACACACACACGTGTCTGTGTCCTAACAAAATTTCATATGTGAACACTGGAATTTGACTTTTATCTCATTTCAAATGTCACAGAAATATGATTCTTCCTTGATTTCTCCCCAAACATTAAAAAATATAAAAAACAGAATTTAGCTTATAGACTCTATAAGCCACGTGGTAGTTTACACAGATCTGGCTTATCAGCCATGGTTTGCTAACCCCTACCTATACGATCTACACTCTATTCAACACTATTTCTAAGGCACTGCATCACAAGATGATGCATATAGAACCAGGCACTGTGATCACAGGCACGAGGAAATGAACAATGTTAAGTGCCTGTTCCTATATTACACATCTGCAAGGAAGGGATCTTTCTTCCCTGAGCCCTCAAATAATTGCCAAAATATTTTTATGCTGACTGACTTTGCTGTATTGAAACTGCTTCCTGTTGTTTGTTCTGTTTTTATTTTGGCTTGGGGCCATGCTTGGGGGTCTCCTGGCTCTGTGATCACTCCTGGTTTTGCTAAGTGATTGAAATGGGGTCAGTCACATGCAAGGCAAGTGTATTAACCTCTGTACTAAGTCTCCAGCTTCTTGCTTCATTTCATTTTTGGGGGGAATTTATACCCACTGGTACTCAGGGGCTATTCCTGTCTAGGTGCCTTAGGGGGATTGTGTGGTCCTGGGAATTGTATCTGGGCTTCTTGCGATGCAAAATATGATGTCAGCCCATGGAATTATCTTTCTGTTCTTATCATTTAATTTTCATCCCCCCACAAATTTCCATTATAAGTGGTGCTTGCTAGCACTGACACACAACATGCAGCAATATTTAATATGGCACAAAGTACAAATTTACATGCTTATTTTAGATTTTCTATATCATGTTTTGTGGCATCTCATAATGAGAAAACTTATTTCCAGGTATCTTATTATATAAAATTTTGTGAGATTGCTTATGTGATGTCCTCTATTCAATATTTTACAAAAAGTATTAAAATAGGCAGTGTCTTTCCCATGGTATTATCTTTTATTTTTCATGGAGAATTTCCAAACAGTGCTCAGGGTGCCTGGAGACCACTGCCAACAATGCTCAGCCAATGAGGTGGTTCGATGCTCACACCCAGTGAGCAGTGCTGCTTGGGCCTGGCAAATCTCAGGGCATATCAGGGGTCATAAAGCACTGCCCTGACCACTGAACCATCTCCCTTGCCTCTCAACTTTTAACTTTGGGGAATTTTACTTAAAGCAACATGTGTCCCAATAGTAGCCTTCCTATTAAAATTAACTGATACCAAAAAATAACACCTCTACAGGGCTGGAGAGAAAGTACAGTGGGCAAGGCATATGCTTTGCACACAGCAGACTTGGGTTCGATCCTTGACACCCCATATGGTCCCCAGAAGCTGGCAGAAGTGATACCTTAGTGCAAAGCCAGGAGTATGCCCTGAGCACAGGTGGGTACAGTGCCCAAACAAACAAAAAGCAAACCAAAAAACTCCTTCAACTCCCCCTGTAGAGGGGCTAAAGAGTCACTCTCTTATTAGTGTGCCGCATTATGACTCTGTCATTCATTAGAAGCAGGGCTTGATTCTCAGAGTCTCTGACTCCTTACTAATATAACAGCAGACAACCCAGGACTGCTGCAAAGAATAAGCAAGATCATTTAAACTGTCTCTAGAACACTGTTTGTTGCTCAGTGAACTTGGATAAGGATGATAAAAGAACAAAATCTGATACATGACTTCGGTTTTTGGAATTATACATTCTTCTCACTTTTTCTGCTTCTGCTTCCTGTAGTTTTGCCTGTTATTCTTCATGATTGATCATCACTACCCTATGTTCCATTAAAATTTTTTTATTTTTCAGCCAACCTTTACCCTCTTCAGGTTACTGACAGTCTCAGAGAGAGTCCAGTAGGAAGATTTGATCGAGTTTGGTCACTTCATTTCCTTCTGTGTTATGGGTTGAATTATATATTCCACTCAAAATTCATATATTGAAGTCTGAACCCTGAGCCTCAGATTGTGACCTTGCTTGGAAATATTGCCATCACAGATGCAGTTAGGTAGTATTAGGGTAAAGTGGCCCTTACATTCAATGACTGGGCCCCCACATCCAAGCAGACAATACCAGATCTCAGACTACTAGCCTCCCAAAATATGAGACTTGCCCAATTTTTCAGGCCTTGCCAGAGCAGCCTAAGCAAATTAAATATTTCATTCCTAAACGAATGAAAGGCTCCAACTTCACATATCAGTTTCTCTGAACCTTTGGTCTGACTTCATTTTCATCAAATGAGCAACATGTCCATAATCTTAGAACAACCTTTCCTGCTTCATTGATCCCCTAGATTACTCAGAAGGATTCTGTTGACTTAATCATCTTCAGACACCCCTTGCCAGAACGCTGGATATGCATGACTTTGTAACACCAACATAAAAAAGGAGAGTGACCAAGAAAATGATTAAGTGAGGGGCTGGAGAAGTAGTACAGAGGGTGGTGGGGCACCTGCCTGGCATGCAGCTGACCAAGGTTTGATCCCCAGAATCCTTATAGTCTCCTGAGCCCATCAGGAATGATTTCTGAGTTACTCTGAGCATCGCTAGCTATGGCCCCCAAACAAAAAACAACAGAAAAATTTGCTGCCCCAGAAAATGATTGAAAATTAAACCCTCAGGCTGAGGAGAAACTAGAAGATTATTGATAGAAAGTAGAAATTAGAAAATAAAAACTAATTTTGGAAGGAGAAAATACTTGGTTTGGTACATGTTAAATTTCAAAAATTTAAAGATTGTGGTTTTATGATTCAAAAGGTAAGTTTTCTCTAGGAAGTTGGTAATATATGAAGAGAACTCAGATAAGTGATTTAAAAGGAGAAACCTAAAACAGTCTTCAGAGTGAATTTTTATCTTCAATAGAAAGATCATGTCTGTCATGATGATCAAGATGTGATCAAGAGGACACGTCAAATTGTCAAAAAGAACAGGTGGGGCTAAGAGAGCAGAGTAGGTAAGGCACTTGCCTTGCATTCAGTTGACCTAGGTTCGATTCTCAACACCATATGTGCTCCCCCAGGACTGTTAGGAGTGATCCCTGAGCATAGAGCCAGGAGGAAGTCCAAGTCCCACTAGGAGTGATCCCAAAACAAAAAACAAAACAGAGAAAGAAAGAAAAAGGAAAGAAATGAACAGGCGACAGTGAACGCAACATGAGCCAACACATACTCTTTCTTCCGGGCTGACTTCCTCTTCTCTTCATTGACCTCATGGTTGGCATCCCGCAGCCTGACCTCCCTATCTGAAAGGCTTGCTGGGATGATGTCCAGCTCCAGGTCCTTGTTGTCCTACACAGAGATATCACAGCGGTCACCTTGGAGATGCTCTGGGAAGAAAACTCACCAGAGTTGGGGAGGTGGTAGGGAAGAAAGTTCATAAAATTACAATGGCAAAAGATGAGAGTATGGGGATCCCACAAAATACGCCATCCTCCCAGCTCCCCCACTCCTGCCCCATACACACACAACCATTCTTCTTCATGGGATGAATCTTTTGTTTCAAAGAAGAAATTCAGAAAAAATTCAAGTCAAATGTGTAATATCCACAACAAGAAAAAACAATGAATGTATCTGATAATTAGTGTCTTACTTCCCCAAGGATTTTGATCCTGATTAAATCTAAACACACACACACACACACACACACACACACACACACACACACATACACTAGTCTAAGACTGAATCTTCATCTTTAAAATATGTATGAGAAAGAAACATATAAAGGTATAAGAAAGCTTTCAAGGAAAGTTAATAGAAGCAAATATTTTTAGTTAAAAAAGAAATTTCCCTTGGTCATGGAAAGCTACATGATGGAATAATTACTGTGTTTCTTAATTTTTCTCATTCCTGTTCATTTAAAGCACCTTTTAGTATTTATGATAGAAACCACTAGAAAATAATCTTTCATTAAAGTTAGGCTTAAACATCAATCTTCCCATTTTAATGGTTTGACTGCCTCACTCTACTTTGCTCTGATTCAGAACATGAGCCTAGAATTAGAATTTTCAGGCTTAAATTGCCAGCCTGCATTTATCTTTTAATTTGTAGGTTACTGACCCCTATTACAAAGAAGTCAGTCTTTCCTTGATTCATAGCAAATAATATCTTTTCCAGTTGAAACTTCAAAGAGCCTTTACACAAATTGCATCCCTTTCTCTTGAACAAGAACTTGAATAAATATGGGGGACTCTAATCATCTGCTGATTAACATAATTGGAAGATGGTTCTGTTAAAGCCAAAGATAAGAGGTCATAGTATTCAAAGTCAACCAGTAACTCTACACAGAGAAAACTCTGTTCTGTATCTACAAACCAACCCCCTGGCTAGCCAATTTTGTATTATTTATAGCTCTGATCCTGGAGGCCTGAAGGTGAACAGCTCAGCAAGGCACATTCCGTCCTATAGAAAACCACAAAAGGCAATCTTTCTATGTCTATCCATCTCTTTCTATCTGACTTTATTTCGATTAACATGATACTTTCCATGTAGTACCACTTGTATGTAAACTTCAAGACTTCATCTTTTCTAACAGCTACATAGTACTCCATTGTGTAGATGTACCAAAGTTTCTTTAACCAGTCATCTGTTCTTGGGCACTCAGGTTTTTTCCAGATTCTGGCTATTGTAAAGGGAGGGATACTGGGACCCGTGGTGGTGGCAAATGGGCACTGGTGGAGGGATGGGTATTTGACCATTGTATAATTGAAACCCAAGCACAAAATTTGTAAGTCTACAACTGTACCTCATGGTGTTTCACTAATAAAAATTTAAAAAATATTTAAAAAAATTTTTTAAATTAAATTTAAAAAATTTTTAAAAAAAGAGAAAATCACAAAAGGCAATTGCTCCAGGGATTCAGTTCAAGACTGCTCAGGACAGCCCTGCTCCTGAACAGGCAGTGCAAGCAGTGCTACCAATAAGGATGAGAAACGAGGGACCCCGCTGGGCAACCCTCTACCTACCTCCGTGTTGACGCCCAGCGCTTTCTCCAGGGAGTACCGGTACTTCCCCATCCTCAGGGAGAAGTCTCTGTAATGCTTGTCCACAGTGGTCACCCATTTCCTGATCTCTGTGGCATGAATGTGTCCCTTCTCCACAAAGCTGTCAGCCAGCTGAATCAAGAGCTTCACCTTCTCCTTTGTTTGCTGCCCCAAAGGATAGTTTTGGTTATTGGGATGCATTTAGTCTCAGTCTTTCGCTTTGTACCTTCTTCTCTTCTTCATGAAACCATTGACACCCTGGAGTTAGGCTGCCTGGTTTTATCTCCCAGCACTGTCTGAGATTTGCTGGGATATCCTGAAGAGTAACTTGAATCCTCTAGGTCTCACCATTTTCTTCTCAAAATAAGGATCCCCAGAGTACTTTGCACCTCTTCCACAGAGTGACTGTGAGCATGACATGAGATGGCTCAGAATGCTCAGAACAGTGCTGGGGACACACTGCTCCAGGAGGGCTCAGGAAGCAATAAATGTTTCAATTATCAATAGAAGAATCAGATGCTAATGCAGCACTCAATCAGGTTACAGACCTCATTAAAGCATTTTCAGGAGACAGGTGGAAAGATAAGGTATGGGACTCTGAATCACATGAAAAGAACTGAGGTTTTGAGAAAATTAGGGTCAAACCAAGTTAGTGACCCCAGTAAGCAACAGATTCTGTCTGCCTCTGGTCCTTAATTCCTGGTTTTCTCCTTTCACTGTACCTGCCTGAAGCAGACCTCCTAAACACTGAGTAGGACAGCATATGCCAGGATATAAAGAAATCATACTAGACTTAAGGGTGAACTCTGTTACTTTCACTACCTCAGAGAAGATGAAATCATGCTTTTGCTATAATACAGATAGAATCGGAAGGTCCTGTGCTAAATAAATCAGAAGAAAGACAAATACTAGATAATCTCACTCAAATGTGGTGTTTAAAGAAATAAAGTAAGGAAGAAACATTCAATAAAAATAAGAACTTAAACTCTCACCAAAGAGCTGAAGTTCCCTACCAAGGTGGTCATGGGGAGAGGAAAACGGACTGAAAGGGCTCAGTGGACACTGGTAGAAGGACACTGGCATTTTGGAATGGTGGTGTCATAATGTTGCGCTTTTCAAACATAAATGTTTCCACTCCTGTATCTCAATGCTACCTCAATAAAACCTATTACAAAGGGATATGTGAAGAACTATGACATGTGTTAGGTTAATTTCATTTCTAGCAAGAGTCCATTCAATTCACACTCTCTACAGCATTGTTTAGAGGACTGTGGGAACTGACTCAGGATAAACAGAAGTGAAGAAAACAATCCCCTACACAGAGTCTGTCTACTCATCTGTCTGGGGGTTTCATTTTCATTTTTTCATTTCATCATCCTGTTATTCGTCGATTGCCTCGAGCAGGCCCCAGTAACGTCTCTTTCATCCTAGCCCTGAGAGATTATATTCAAGGCTCTTTAGGAGAATGAGACCCATCATTGTTACTGGTATTTGGCATATTCGGTACGCCACGGGGAGTTTGCCAGACTCTGCCCTGTGGACAGGCTACATTCGATAGCCTGCAAGTTTGTCCAAAGTAGGAATGAGATAATAAGATGTCATAAAAAGATGTCCTGAGAAGATGTTGCGCGGCCGCATTTGCGGCTGTGCAGTTCCGGAAACTGAATTTTATAGTCTCTGAGTCTTGGCCGTTGATGGGATTACACGGCGCCAGGGGGCCAGGTGGTGGGTGTGACCCCCGCCTACTGGAATTTGGAGGATCTGGGTGGAGGATGCTCGACTCCAATCCGAGTAGGCTTGGAGGTCTTGGCCCTGGAACCCGCGTGGATTTGTCTGGGGGTGGGACAGGATTTTTGGAGAGAGTAGTTTAATAACTCATAGCACTGTGCAACTGAATGTCAAAGTGAGAAGTATATATAGTTAATAATGCAGGGATTTTAAAAGAAGAAATAATGAAGAGGGTGGCAGAGGCAGGGGAGATGCGGGGGAGTCTGGAACTTACATGGGGTAAGATGTAGAAATGGAAGGAATATTCAAATAAGTGAACGTCTTTCATCTTAGGATGCTTTTCTCCTTAGAAGTTTGGGCTTAGAAATTCTAAAATCTATCAAGAAAAAGTCTGATATACTTTGACCAAAAGTAAGAAGAGTTGAATAATATTATGAGGAGTAAACTATCTTTTGGACTGGAGGAAATTAAGTTTAAAATCTGAACCATGCTATGATCTAAATACTGTAGGGAAAACAAAGCAGGGGATTACAGGAACAACAGCGGGAACTGTGCCTTTCTTTATTCCAGTGCCTTCCCCACCCTTTCTTTCCAAGTCTTATTTACAGCCCTTCCCAAGGGAGTCTGGCTGCTAAGATGGCAGTAAGGAGCAAGTGCACAACCCAGCCCACAGCAGGATGGGGGTGGGGCCAGGTCCCACTCTCCAGCCCTCCTCACCACATCCGCCTGTCTCAGGACAGAATAGTGGCTGGTACCAAGGATCCTGAGACAAGGCTCCACAAAAGCTCTGTTGTGAAGGAAGGATGGTGGTATGAGGATGGTTTAAAAACATCTCTTAGAAAGAAGAGAGGTGCTGCCATAGAGGCAGGCTGGGGTGGAGGTGGCTTGAAGGGGTGGGCAGGAAACTGGGGACACTGGTGCTGAGAAATGACACAAATGATGGAGGGATGAGCGTTGGAACATGGTATGACTGAAACGCAATCATGAACAATTTTGTAATGCTGTATTTCATGGTGATTCAATAAAAAACAAACAAAAATCTCTTAGCCATGAAAAGATAAAGAGTAACTGCCTTGTTAATGGTTGAGAAAATGTACTGGTACCAAAGAACTTCTTTCTTATGTTTAGGGTATTTTCTTCCCTCTTAGCTTAGCTATTAAGCAGATTAACTTTTGCAAGTACAATAAAGAAATCAATTTTTTATGTGAAAATCTTGGAAATGAAAATTGTTCTCTGGTGTTGGTCAGGAGACTTCAGCATGAGAGGGGCTTTTACAGGCAGCAGCGTTCTCAGAAGAAATTATATCCTGAAACATCAAAACTGTAATTCATTTATCAAGGAAAATGGTGATAAGAGTATTTGTGTGGAACTGGGGTTTGAGGTATATAGATGGAAGGTAAAATGAGCAGTGCAGACAAACTATTCCCAGGTGTCACCTGGCTGTGTAATGGCCCCTGTCCCTACTGCTGTATGTAGGCCAGAGAGCTGTGACTTCTGCTCAGCCTGCCTCCTGCCCAATGGCTCCCTTTTATTTTCTCTCTTCCACCTTCATGGAGTCCCTGAAGTCCCACAGATATGCCCCTATTTGAGCAGGCATTGCTGAATGTGGTCACCGAGTTACTGACCACACCTCTCACAGCACACTCCATCCTACTCAGGTGTAGTCCTGAGGTCTAGAAAACTGCAAGTGCACCATAAATGTCAAGTCAGCAAATGGACAGTTCGGGAGGTGAGGAATGCCACAAAAGCAGGAGTTGAGGGCTTATGCTGGGAACACAATCAGATGAAAGCTTTAATCCGTGAACTGGACTCTGATCTTGTTATGGTCCCTGCCGAGAATGGACTGAAGGGCTACTTTACACAGGGGGGCTGAGAGGGCACCCTGTGACCTGCTGCAGGCTGACCCCTGCTAAGGAGACAGAAGGAAAAACCCTGAGCTGGACAGACTCGTCAATGGTCCCAGAAACGTGCAGATGGTCACTTCTGAGTTGTCTGTCCTGTCTTAAAAGCTCTGTCTAAACAGGGATGTGGCAACACACTGGGGTCTATACTACAGGGATAGGAAACTGGGTAGTGAGTTGCAGAGATGTGAGAACAGAAAAGAGGGAGGAGAGAAAAGTGAACCACAGTGATGGTGCTAATGTACCTGTTACCCTGAGATAATATGACCAGCTAAGGCAGCTGTACCCCAGTTTTCACTGCCAGAGCTGTGCATTTCTCTCCATGTCTAACTCCCTCAGGCTGGCTGATTCTATTTTTCCCAGGCTCCTGGGAGGCAAGGTCCAGCCACACAGCACCTACCTTCTTTTCTTCTTTGTATCTTAAGTCAGTCTGAAACTCAGATATTGGCTCCCAAGGAGCACAAGTTTTAGAGAAAGCTGGGGTCAGACTACAGAGATCAGATTCAGATGTACAAATATGATAAAGAATTATCATATAGTTCTTTCATATAGGGAAAATGGGGGGCTTTCAGGGATGATAAGTCATTCGGACCTGAAAATTTGAGGCTGACAGTTTATTTCAGCTTCATTTGCCCGCAAATAGTGTTTTGTCCCTCCTATTTGGAATTCTAGCTTACCTGCTGGAGGAGATATAAAAATGAAGAGCCTTTGTTATCCCTGGTACACATTATCTCTCTTGCTTGTCTCTCTGTTTCTCTGATTGCTTATAATGACTCTGGGGAAGCAAGTTTTCTCTTGTGAATGCATTTCCCCCTTTTCCTCTCATGTCTATCTAAGCAAGTCTCATCCAATAAAACTACCTTGCTTCACTAAAAGAAGAAGGGGGGAGGGCTTGGTAGTTCAAATTGTCCTGTTTTCATTCTTTTTCCTCCTTGCTCTCTCCACTCCTTCCTTTAATCAGTATTATACTCTATATTCCCCTAGGTAGTGAACCTTCCTCTGCATAAAGTTTATGTCCCTTTAATATCTTCAATACATTTATAAGTCTTTAAAATTTCATCTTCTTTTCCTTCTTGCCACACCCAGTGGTGTTCAGGGGTTACTCCTGACTTTGCACTCTGCTCTAGTGGGATCTGGGGACTCAGGGGGTTGACTATGGGCAAGGCAAGTAGTCTACCCTCTGTACTAATTCTCTGACCCTGGTATTATTCTTTGAGTCTCATATTTTTTGAATTTGCCTTTAATTATTGCTATTACTCATTAATTTCTTGATGTACTATATAGATAATGAGCTTCCCTTAAGGGTAAACAGTTTCCTTGACACATATCTTCAATTCATTATACAGAGAATTTGTCATGCTAAGGAGATGGCATAAAAGGCTGCAGTGTGTATTTTGCATATGGGAGACATGAGTTTTATTCCTCACCACATGGTTCCCTGAGTACCTCTGGGGATGACCTCTGCCATAAGCAGTTGCAGAGCACCATAGGGTATGACAATCCCCTGCCCCAAATTTGCCATAATATATATGAAACTAAACCTTTCGTGTGAGCTCTATTTCTCATGAGTCTCAGAAAAGAATTATGCTCACTTCCTTTTTGGTTTTTTGGGCCACTCCTGGTGTTTATCCTGGCACCAGGGATGCCAGGGTGAATACCCAATGAACAACCTTTGCTGACTCAGTATGTTGCCCACTGTCCTTAAGGGCTCACTCCTAGTGGTGCTCAGGGGACCATGTGGGTGCTGGGGAACAAATCATGGTTGGCCACAAGCAAGGGATCACCCTGCTCACTGTACTATCACTCCAACCCTCCCCATCTTTTATGCCAACTCTTTAGATTTTTCCCTCTTATTTAATGTACCTATCTGATAAGCTCAGTGTTTCTTTTCCTTACTACCTGAATTCTAAGATGAAATTTTGATTATTTAAGACTTCCGTCTTTTATTATCACTTAATTCCCCTTTGTGTAAAGAAGAATTAAGTCCAATATCACATAGCTTATTTAGCTTAGAGATAAAAAAAGCCATTTTAAAAATAAATGTTTTCTCAGGCTAGAGAGATACTACAGGGGTAAAGTGCTTGCTTTGCACATGGCTGATGCTGGTTTGATTCCCTGCACCACATACGGTCCCTAGAGCACCACCAGGAGTGATCCCTGAGCAAGCCAGGAGTGGGCCTGGAGTAATCCAGGATGAAAATCGGCAATAAGCCATATATTTATCAACTGAAAAATGGATAAATGAAATATGTCATGGCCAAACGAAGTTTTTAGTCTTGAAAGGGATTAAATAATGACAACATGGGTAAATCTTGAAAATATTCCACAGAGAGAGCAGACATAAAACTCATGGTATAGTATTTCACTTATATGAAATGTCAAGACTAAGCAAACCTGGAGAGCAGTGGAGTGAGAGAGGTGATTCCAGTGGCTGCTCATGGGAATGCAGTTTCTTAGGGGGAGTACAGGGAAATGTCCTGATGGCACATTTGCGAACAGACTGAAACAAAACACTGAATTGCAAAAGAAAAAAATAAAAAGAAATAAATTTTTAAAGTTAGGGGAAAAATGAGGTTTTCTAGATGTCAGGATGATTAAGCTATTCCACCAATATATGTCTAGACCCTTATAAATTTTGAAACTGAGCCTCAAGAGGAAAACTCTATATATTATTTGAATTATATAGAGCATGGGCTGGAGCGATAGCACAGCGGGTAGGGCATTTGCCTTGCACGCAGCCCACCCGATTTCAATTCCTCCACCCCTCTTGGAGAGCCCAGCAAGCTACGGAGAGTATCCTGCCCGAACGGCAAAGCCTGGCAAGCTACCAGTAACGTATTCGATATGCCAAAAACAGTAACAAAAAGTCTCACAATGGAGATGTTACTGGTGCCCACTCAAGCAAATAGATGAACAATGGGAGGACAGTGCTACAGTGCTATAAGTATACCACAAGAAAATTTTGTTTTCCTCTTATTCTTACCAATATTCTCCTTTTTTAAAAAAGGAAGTCTGCTTCTGGCAGTGCTTGGAGGATCATGCAGTTAGGAATGGAAACCAGGGCTCCTGCATGCAATATCAGAATATCTCTGTGGCCTTCTTTAACTTTACTCTGACATTGGGAGTTACCTTTCACTAGAGAAAGTACCTATTTATATTTAAGTGGCTTCTTCTACTTGAGCTGCTTCTTTGGGTCAGAATAAAATAATTAAATATTCCCTATTTCCCTATTCAATCATGAGATCCACCCACCATATTTACTTTCTGGGGCTAAAGGTCAATTTGGTTTCTATTGAAAATCTATTTTGTGAGTTATAAAGATTAAAACCAAAGAAGACTGGTTAAATAGTGTGCCTCTGAGAAGCTAGACAAGGGTGGGTAGGAGGCTATTGCCTTTCTTTGGAAGCTCCAACTGGATTTGTTAACCTGTAGAAATGCGAATAAAAGATAGTCTGAGACTTTAAACACAATAGATTGGAGAACAAAATCCCATTAACTGATGTTGTTGAGAGAGAGAGAGAACATAGAAGAGCCAAAAATGTGGTTCAGTGTTCAGTGAAATTCCCTGCATCTGTGAGGTTCTAGTTTGACCCTGACACAATGAAGATAAGGACAAGAGAACATAGAAAACCCTAGTGAAAGAATCATATTAATCATACAACTAGGGGAGGGATGCTGAAATATATCTAATATATCCTAATCTCTTTTTCCCCTAATGTTCATGAACGGTTGTGATCTCCCTGCAAGGACCAGGTAAATGAACTGAGGGTGGCCCTAACTGGTTCAGATGGAGAACACTTCACAGAGAGAACAGGAAAATGGAGAATGGGTCGGTCCACGTCAGGTGTTCTCAGATTACCCAGACAATGAGGGCTGAAGTTTAGGGACAAGCCACATTAGTTCTTAAATGCAGGTAGGGTACTAAAGGAGGGGAAAGGTGGGTTTCTCAAACTAAAGGGGAGGGACAGATTCTAGGCATAAAATAAAGAGGAAAGTCTATAGGCAAGACGGTACTTGATGCATTTCGCAGAAGGTAAGAAAATAAGTCCTTTCAAGTGAAACATAAAATTTGCATAAATGAATAACTGAATACAAAGCTGGAGCAGGAAGGTGACATGGTACAGAAGTTGTTGAGCATTAGCCTGAAGGCACTAAAGAATCATTAATGTTTTTTGAGCTGGGTGAAAATGAGATCAAAGTAGAATGTTAAAGATGAAAGCAGCGAAGAACAGGATGAGTTGAGAGAAGGAAAGGTCAAATGCAGAGAACCCAATTAGGAAGCTACTAAAGCTTAAGGTGGTGATAAGGGAGAGGAAGAAAAGAACAGGAAGATGACTGTAAGAAATTATGAATTAAACTGACTAAATAATTCTCCACATTTCATATTTGCCTACCGACTTTGATGCTAAGAAGTTCTGGGTAATTCATCCTATCTGAGTAGGAGCACCAGAAAATCTGATACTATTCACTCTGTGAATGGTTCATTATTGACAGTATTTGAAGAGGTACAGATAAATGAAATGGGGGCAATTCAAAAGTCATTTTCACTTGGGTATAAAAAGGGTTTTCTGCATCTGCCACCATCCTAATGCTATTTGCTGCAACCCAAAGTGAAATGAGTCTCTTATCTGAATGCAGTTGTTTACATTGAGTGAAAAGGCTTGAAGTGAAGCTCAGAGGGATTCAGGGGGGAGGTTCCCTACTGTCAAGTGTTCCTAGTTTTGGAGTCATAAGCACAAACCTACTTTAGAAATCTCGGCCCAGGAATCAGGATTTAATTTGCCTCAGGAAGCTAGAGAAACATTCACCAACATGTCAGAAGAATCTCTGGAGAGGATCTGTTTCCCCACTGAATCTCCCCCATAAAGGAAGCTCTCACCCTGGGAAGAGCATCTGCCCTGAGGAAGCGATGCCAAGGAGGATTCCTCCACAGCAAGGAGCCAGGATGAGGGATGGTCACACTACAGTGAGGGAGCAAAGCAGATGGGATTCCACTCAAACCCAAGGGGCCTCAGATCAGACCCTCCTGTAAGTCCAGGTGAGTGTAAGATTCCTTCTATTGATAGCCTTTGCTCCATGTAAGCAGAGGGGTGAGGTGTGGTAGGTACTGTGTACAGATGTGGCTCACCAAGGACGCCCGCTTGGCTCATGTGCAGGTCTGAGACTAGATGAAAGCAGCCAGTTCAGGAAAAAAAGAAACTTACCTACTTTATGAACCTTCCCGTGGCTATTGACCCTTGCCATTCAGAGGACTTCCCTAACCATTCAAAAATTTAAAATGCATGGAAAGGTACAGAAAATCATACATGCAAAGTGCAGATTTGCATGAATACATCTTTTCGCTGTATTTTGGTCTCAAAGAATTCCAGAACCTGGAGCGTGAAACTTGGAAGCATGATGTAAAGGAGATGACTTCTCACAGACTGAAGCTCCAGCCAACAGCTGCAAGTGTCTGTGCTTTCCCCCTTTGCCATTGTAGTTAAGCATCTCCTTGTGGGCTGCTCCCCTTTCTATAAAGTGAGACAGGCAAGATCTGGGCCAGCTTCCAAAAACACCCTGGTTCTCTTACCTTGGCAGGGACCCTGAACTCCCCATATTCTTTCAGCAGCTCCTGAGTCTCCTCTGTGGTCTCTCCAGTGGAGGTATGTGTTGAAAGGTAAAATTCACCTGTTTCTTGGATCCAGTCCAGTGCCTATGGGAGGAAATAACCAACGCAGTTTCCCCCAAGCCAGCTGTAAGTATGCATGTTCCAGTGTGGGGCTGTGGTATGGGACAGCGAGACAGATCCAGGAAACGCGTGCATTACTGGATCAGGGGAGAGCTTGGAAGTTGTTGACATCAGTGGCCCTCCTGTTAAGACCTGGAACATCCCACCAGAAAAGAAAATGTGCATCCTACGGAGTCTCTTCTAGGTCATACCTAGTACCATCCATGAGTTAGAAACAGCCTGCCCCCAGCATCTCCTTATAAGGCCTGGGGGGAACTTCTGAATAACTGATCATTATTTTTAGCAACTGATTAAACCAATCACTTGATAAAGGCTGGATGTCAGTGTCACTCCTTCTTCAGCCCCATCTCCCATCACTAATCTGTCTACTGTATGACTGTCACAAGCACTAATCACCTGGAAAAGCCTGGACATACCTGTTTAGCGCTGCGCTCAAATACCACATATTGCTGGCACTGGTCTAACCGTCGCTTCTTCAGGGTCCAGAAATGCAGAACTCGATTCTCCCTCTGTAAGAGCTCACTCAAGATGGCTGCAGGACAGAGACAAGCAGTGGTCACAGGAAGGCCCCACCAAACACAACCAGCTGCTTCTGCCCGTATCCCACCTGCTAAGTGAGTGCGGCCTTTAAGCCTCCCTACAGGAATGATCCAGATCAGAAGCAAGGGAGAAAATCCTGGTACAAAGACAAATTTCCCACTGTGGAGTAAGATCTAGGAAGTCAGGACAAGGGCCTGCTGAGGGGCTGTTCTGTCAGCAGAGGGAGGAAGAGGATGATCCAGTGTGACTCTAAGCGACCTGACCCATAGCAGCCATGGCAGTCACTGGAGGTCACTGTTCCTGTGATTCCCCTCTTCCTCCCTTGCTCTGGGAGCAGAATATATACATGAGTAGATTTACCAAACATATGTTCTATGCTTGAAGCAGTCAAATATATTTTGTAATATGCCTCCTGCTTGCTGTAGTATATATATATATATATAGTATATATATGTAATATATATATATATAGGATATTACTCAAATATAACTAATGATGATAGTAAAAAGCAATACTTATTTTGCACTCCCTGTGGCAGGCACATATTTTCACAATTTTCATGAAGCATGTACCATTATTGTCCCCATTCTACAAACGAATAAACTGAGTTTCTGAGAGGCTAGATTTATTCATTTAGGAAAGGATAGAGCTGTTTAACCTTTCCTTAGATCCTGGGTTTTAGGGGTATAAGGCAGAAGTTACTGTGCTCTACAAATGGACACAACCAAAATTACAGTATCTACATGATTCACTGTTCTTTGTATAATTTAATGTTCCAGGAGTGCTTGGTTGTCTGCAGAATCTGTGTGTCTTGCTTAGGCTGAGAGTTTCTCTGGTTCCCAATTCACCTTTCCTTTTATCTATACATTAATTGTTCAACTTTTTAGTTCATCCCCAAAGAGACAAATGGCACTTCCTCACCTACCACCTGATTTGCCTTCATGCATCTAATGTAATGAATACAGAGCAAGCAATGTGCCTGGGTAGCAGACTTAGCCCCTTGTGTTATCACACTTAGCCATCACCTAGACAAGAAATTCTTTTGGCTAATTTCTACTGCTTCACTTGTGAATTTATATACATGAATAGACAAGATCCCAACTTACAATGAAGAGTGGTCAGCTAACTAACCACCTGAAGCAGAACCACACTGCTGAACACAACCAAAACCTCTGACTGTCAGCCTATGACAACCACTTGAATAATAAATAAACATGGAAGAGTTGTATGTTGCTGAATTTTTGGTTAGGTGTCAACAATTTGTCAAAACCAGACCGTAAAGTTATTGACACTACATTTAGGTCTCAGCGTCAGGTGTAAAGAGAGTGTAGGTTCCTGACCAAGTGGGTACTCCAAGTGATCATCATTTCTTTCATCTTTATGCCCCCAACTCAGACAGAGATTTATTTGCTGTAGCTCCTTCTATGGTCTCTGAGAACATTATATAAGTTCAGGCAAAATCCCTAAAAAATTTAGGGTTTCTTTTCCCTCCTCTTAAAAGTTTTTCTATGGGCAACAACTGGCCCTGCCCTAACTCCAATTCCGCCCCCCCCCCCAAGTGTAGCATACCCAATCTCCAGGTGCCTACTGTTCTTAGCACACGGAGGTGTAGGTGGGCGAACGCTCCCTTAGCAGGCAGCTGGCCTCATTCAAGCAGCTGCCTGCATTTGGAAGTCAGAACATATGCTTCGAAACACGCCAAAGGAGAGAGTGACATAATGCCAGCCAACCACAGTTTCCATAAACTGCAGATAGGGGAGCATGTCTGGAAAAGGAACCTGCCTTCCATCCTTTCTGTAAGGACTTTGATTTCTAGTTGAATTTTTCCCAAAGGCTATTGTTCCTCCCAACTCCTAAGCATTCTGAGCAGGAAGTGAAACTTTCTAAACACTGAACAAGCACTGGATGCATGCAAAAAGGCCCCCATCCCACACTGTCCAAGAGTATTTATTCCACAGGGTCTCCAACCTCACTCCCTCTCTAGTCTTAGTCCCCAGTGTTATATTTCTTTACTTCCGCAACTCTTATTTATTTATTTATTTATTCAACTCTTCACCAACTCAAAGGCTCTTTTCTGCATGATCCAGAGCAAATAATTATATAGGGAATTTAAAGTTAATATGGTCAAAATTTTAAGTTACTCTTTCATACAGTTATAATCTCCACAGAATTCAAAGAGATATTTAAGATTATCTAAAACTTGTCTATATAAGACTTATCTAAACAAACTTTATTAAAAACAAAAATTACTCAGTTGGGATGGAATGGGGAGGGTGGTGAGGTGGGGGGAGGGGTTGGATTCTGTCAAAATACAGACTTTTAACTCAGCAGGTTTGTGTGAGATAGATATTCTGTGTCTCTTTCAAAATTTCTAGTCTGGAGTCACATTTTGACTAGCAAGAGTTTAGACATCTTTCAACTTTTATTTGTTGGGTGGGCTCAGGGCACTCCCAACAGTGCTCAGGGCTTATTCTAACTGCAGGAATCATTCCTGGGGGTACTCCAGGAACCATATGAGGTGCTGGGTTTGAATCAGGGTTGGCCACATAAGGTCAAGTTCCCCATCTCCTGGACTGTCTCTTACCCCAAATTGAAGTTTTGAAACCTTATACAATAAGTATAAAAGCAAGGATTAAAACTTGGTCTTACGATTTTCAGTTCGCGTCTCATTCCCAATTTACTAGGTTTAAGAGACTCCAACCTTGTGCTATTCTACATGTTAGAATAGCATTTAGAATTTACAACTAACACCGAAATTAATATTTAGTAAGAGCAAAAATATACTCCTGCAGCCACATGTGAACAGAAGCTTCTACCATAGCACAACATTGATACATGCGGCTTCCATTACCTTGGAAAATTCTATTAGAGAGTACTGCTCTAGACTCTAAGATGGAGGGAAAAATAGGGGAAATTTTATGTTCATGTTTCTATTCTAAATCTTGATGCATATTTTAAAATTGCCCATGAATCACTGCTGCCCACGCCACCCCACATCAAACTTTTTCTTCTTTAAGGAGCAAAAAACAAGACATTTAAGGTTGCTTGAAGATTGGCACCAGCCTCCAGTGAAGTGCTCGTGACCGAGGCTCTCACACTGACCTTTCACCTGCTGCTCAGGCCCACGGGTGTGGCTAGCGGCACTGGGCATGCTGACGTTGTTCCTGTGGATGTACTTGAGAAACACTTCGGCGTTCCTCCGCGCCAGCGTGCAAGCCTGAGGGAGACAGAGGTATGAGGCTAGGGCTCCCGGAAGAAGGCTGGGGGTCTAAGACACTGGATAAGAAAGCCTTGTGAGGAAGGTCCTGGAGCTGTGAGTGTGCAAAGCCTGAAGACCAGAATTGGCTTGTGGACATCCCAGCCCTGGTGCAGGACGTTAACCCTTTACTGTGTGAAGAGCTGCTCCCCGTGCCTCTGCTTTCCAAGACCCCAATCAGCCTACTCTTGATGCCCTTTCCCCTGATTCCACATTACTAACATTCACTGTCAGGCTGTCTGTCCTGAGTCACTAGAAATGCCTCATCTCACCACAGGCGAAACCCACACTGATGGCGGTTTAATTTAAGTTTGAGAAAGCAAATTTGCTAAGCAAACCCAAGTACCATACATTCCAAATCTAAATGGAAATTACCCACATTTAAAAGACATCTGTGTTCATCAAGGTCAGTTCACCATCACCTCAATAATTCTTTGTTTCTGTATTTTTTTGGGGGGGGCACAGCCTGTGGTGCTAGGGCAGGTTTTCCTGGCTCTGTGCACAGGACTAACCCCTGACTGTGCTCCAGGGAGTGTGTGCAGTGCTGGGGGCTGACCCAGGAAAAGAACATTTATCCTTTTCCTTCTTCAAAACACTGTCCTCCCACTGTTCATCGATTTGCTCGAGCAGGTCCAGTAACGTCTCCACTTTTGAGACTTTGTTGTTACTATGTTTGGCATATTGAATACATCACGGGTAGCTTGCCAGGCTTTGACAAGCAGGCGAGATACTCTCGGTAGCTTGCCAGGCTCTCCGAGAGGGGCGAGGAACCAAACCCAGCTCGGCTGGGCTGGCTGCACACAAGGCAAATGCCCTGCCGCTGTGCTATCGCTCCAAACTTTTTTCCTATTGCAAAAGTAATACATTCTTGTCCACTAATTCTTTGGAGGGGGACATGCTCAGGGCTTACTCTGGGGCTCTATTCAGAGGTCACTCCTGGTGCAGTGCCAGAGTGCCAGGATCAAACCCTGGTCAGCTGCGTACAAGGTAAGAGTCCTCTCTGTATTCTCCTTCTAGCCCCCAGAGTCCATTAATTTTGAATCCAAAGTTTTCAGAATTAAATGATCTTTAGATGAAAGTGTCAGATGGTAAAGCATTCTATGTAATGTCTCATCCCACAAATCACAGAAGAAACAATTATATAACTGTGGCTTGTCAGAGCTCTGAAGAAAGTCTTCTGGTGGATTCATCAACCAGAGGCTTAAGAATTAACAGCTGGATGGCAATCCCAAGCCAAGGCACCCAGAACAGATCAACTCATGCAAACGAAACAGAGAGCTTAAGGATCTGTGCTTTGGGCACATGATAGCTACAGTAAGAGAATTTCTCACTTATGGTTTTAGGCACAAATTAAAACAATGACCTAGAACACTTATCCTTTTCCTTCTTCAAATGAAACATTTTATAAAGAAATAACTTCACACCCTAATTTTAAAGATTTTATATGCTTTACTCAAATTGTTTTGTTTTAAACTTTGTTTTATAATAAGACGACTTTAAAAATCATCTAAAGTCCTGCAGAGAATCAATTCAATTTAATCTTTTTACTAAGCGCTGATTCCTAGGGGCTCTAACTGAATGTTGTACTGATACCAGATAAATGAGAGAAGGTCAGTAAGAGACCATCTTACAAAGAGGAAAAACAAAACTCAAAGAGGCAATGATACAGAGCAAGTGCATAATAAAAGGCGGTTACTGAAATGAAAAAAGTCAGCAGCAACATGTTAGCATACAAAATCTTCTTGCATGATTTCAGAAACCTGAGAGAAGCAGAATATGAAAGCAAGGTATTTGAGAGTAAATACAGCTTTAGATAAGTTTTAACACAGAGAACTCCATCAGAGGGAAGATCAAAGACTGAAGAAAAAGATGCTTAAGAGTTCTTCCCACCACTGACTCTCAAGTAGATGATCACTTAATCTTTGATAAAAGAGCAAGAAACGTGAGTGAAGTGGAGCAAGGAAAGTCTCTTCAACAAGTGGTGCTGGGAAAATCTGACAGTTACCTGAAAAAAAAAAAACTCAGACCTCTGTCTAATGCCAAGCACAAAAGTCAGATCAAAATGCATTAAAGACCTCCATATCAGATCTGAATCCATAAAGTAGTTGGAGGAAAATGTAGGCAGAACCCTCCATGATATTGAAGCTAAAGGATCTTCAAAGATAAAACACCACTGACCAAGCAAGTGGAAACAAACATAAACAAATGGGACTACATTAAATTAAGAGGCTTCTGCATCTAAAAATAAAGTGACCAAAATAAGAAAGAGCCCACGGAATGAAAAAATTATTTACCCAATATCCATCAGATAGGGGCTTAATATCCAAGATATACAAGACACTGATAGAAATTTAAAAGAAAAAAACCTCCAACCCCATCAAAAATGGGGAGACGAATAAGTAGAAAGAGAGAGAGAGAGCGAGAGAAAGAGAGAGAGTAAGAGGGAAGTTGTCTGCCATAGAGGCAGGGGGAGGTGTGGAAGCGGGGAGGGATACTGGGGACATTGGTGGTGGAAAATGTACACTGGTGGAGGGTTCCATCATTGTATGACTGAAACTCCAACATAAAAGTTTTTTAACTGTAACTCATGGTGAATCAATAAAAAATTAAACAAATGGGGAGAAGAAATGAACAGAAATTTCCTCAAAAAAGAAATTCAAATGGTCAAAAGGCACATGAAAAAAATGCTCTAAATCTCTAATCATTAGGGAGATGCAAATCAAAACAACAATGAGATATCATCTTTACAACACAGAAACTGGCACACATCAAAAAGAACAAGAACAACCAGTGCTGGCACTGATGTGGGGAGAAAGGAACTCTCATTCATTGTTGATGGGAATGCTGACTGGTCCAGCCTTTTGGGAAAACAATACAGACTAGAAATTGAGCTCCCTTATAACCCAGCAATACCACTTCTGGGAATATATCCCAGACACTGACAAAAAAAAAACAATAGAAATGACATTTGCATTTGTATGTTTACCGTACCACTGTTCACAATAGCCAGAATCTGGACAAAACCTAAGTGCCCAAGAACAGATGACTGGTTAAAGAAACTTTTATACATCTACACATTGGAATACTATGCAGCTGTTAGAAAAGATGAAGTCATGAAATTTGCTTGTAAGTGGATGGACATGGAGAGTATCATGCTAAGTAAAATCAGTCAGAAAGAGAGGGACAGATATAGAATGACTGCATTTATTTGTGGAATATAAAGTAACATAATATGAGACTAACACTTAAGGACAGTAGAAACAAGGGCCAGGTGAATCGCTTCACAGAAAAGGTAACTGGGATGGAGAAGGGACCACTAAGTAAATGATGGTGGAGGGAATGCTTGGGATGGGAGATGCATGCTGAAAGCAGACTAAGGACAAAACATGAAGGTCTCTCAGTATCTGTATTGCAAACCATAATGCCCTAAAGTAGAGAGAGAGAGAGAGAGAGAGAGAGAGAGAGAGAGAGAGAGAGAGAGAGAGAGAGAGAATGAAAGTGCCCGTCACAAAGGCAGGGGGTGAGGTGGGTTGCAGGTGGTGGGAGGGATACTGGGGACGTTGATGGTGGAAAATGTGCACTGGTGGAGGAATGTGTGTTTCATCATTGTATGACTGAGAATTAATCATCAAAGTTTGTAACTGTATGTAACTGTATCTATATGTATGTAACTGTATGTAACTGTATGTAACTGTATCTATGATGATGACTTAATCATCAAAGTTTGTAACTGTATCCCATGGTGATTCAATTGAAAAAAAAAAAAAGATCTTCCCACCACAGCCTTTCAGAGTCTTTCAGAGAAGGATTCCCCCTGGAAGCTGCAGCTGTATTAAGAACAACCACAACAAAATAAAGTTTTATCCTTTTCATACAGAAGAATAAACAGTATTACACTTATTGGTAACTGAAATTACTGAACTGATTTTTTTAAAAACTGTGTATATTTATTTCTTTAATTCTACTCAAATTTTATATTATCAATTTATAAAAGGTTTAATAGTGTTTTTATATCTAGCTTATCTTTTAATGAAAACCATTTTTAAAAAGCAAATGTAACTGAATAGAATTATGAATTCCCTCAACAAAAAATATCAGTGGGTACCAGATACTTGGGCTGGAGCGATAGCACAGCGGTAGGGCGTTCGCCTTACAAGCGGCCAACATGGCCAACCCGAGTTCGATTCCTCCGCCCCTCTTGGAGAGCCCAGCAAGCTACCGAGAGTATTCGATATGCCAGACACAGTAACAACAAAGTCTCCAATGGAGACGTTACTGGGCCCGCTCGAGCAAATCGACGATCAACGGGAGGACCTTTACCTTTTACCTTTTACCAGATACTTAAACATGGCATCAGTAGCAACGTATGCTGTCAAATATACCAAAAGTGTTGAGAGAAATTAATATTTGAAGCATAACTTTTCTGGTTAATTAGCCAATATGTTGTCTTAAAATGCTTCCATTTAACTGAAGGTTATAAAGAACAGGGGGCTGAGTTCATGTGATGCATGTTGGGGGGGCGGAATTGAGGGAACAGAGGGGAAAGGAGACGGGGGAGTGGAGGGCGGGAAAGTGGAAGAAATGAAAGAAGCCTAGCCTGCTACAGACGCTGATTTTGAACGTGCTCAGACCTTAAGAAAGGCCTCCTTTTGTTCCAGATGTTTGCTGATAAGTGGAATGACGTGGTCAATCTCTGCTGCTGGTCCCAACTTATCTCGTCCACCGCACCAGTCTTCATCTCTCCGGTACTCTTGCTCTAAGCTCTCCAGCACACTACAAACCTAACAGATCATAAAGAAAAAGAATCAGGAAATTAATCAGTTGGAAGTATTTCATGAGAACCGTCAGTCAACAGAGCCCTGTACAGGTGCTATATTTCATTCCAAGTGAGTGCAGTTTGCACATTTGGAGTACGATGTGCTTGTAGGAGAGCTAAGATAAGTAGTCCAGAGGGAGTGAGAATCTGACGTTCAGGAGACAGGTTATGACTGGAGAGACACTTTCTGGAATCATCTTACAGTTGATGCTGGAGGGCTAAAGTTGTGACCACAACTGCGGAGTCTACGCAGAATAAGAAAGGAAGAGAGAATAGAAGTTTGGGGGATTTCACTGTTTTTAAACTTAATAATCTGACAACTCTGTAAATTAAGTAGAACACAAAACAGATTTGGAAAAAATACGCCTCCATCTGCTCTTTCCCGACATCATTCTCAAGCAAAGGAAGCTGTGTGGTATCACTTACTGACCACAAACAAATGTCATTTTTCCACTGCAGTGAGGAAAAACACTTCAGAAAAAAAAATCTCTCACAGTGCTGCTGCAATAAGACAACATCTCCAAGTCTTTTCCTGTAAGATGCATGTCTCTTTTAAAATGATAACAATATTCTTTAATTTATATTATTTTTCATCAAGTTACCATAAAATACGAAGCTGTTCATGATTGGGTTTCAGTCATATAGTGTTCTAACACCCGTCCCTTCACCAGTGTACACTTCCCACCACCAATGACTCCAGCATTTCCCTCCTGGCTCCCCTGCCCCCAGCCGCCTGCCTGTATGGCTAGCACTTCTCTCTCTCTCTCTCTCTCTCTCTCTCTCTCTCTCTCTCTCCCCCCCCCCCTTTCTGTTTCTCTATCTCTCTCTCTCTGTGTGATAAAAAATTCGAACTCATGTAAAACTGATTACAAAGCTTTTAATTTCTAAAAATGTTTAAAGGCCATACGTAGCCTTGTAAATTAATGCACAAGAAAACAGGAGAATGTGAAGGGGCCTGGGAGGACAGCTAGACTGGGTGTGACACTGGGAGAGCCAGTACAGCCCAAGTGTCAGAGCCTCAAAGAACATGAGGAAAACAAAAATGAAGATTCCTAGAGTTTCCTTCAATAGACTTTGCTTACTTTACTGGTAAGGGAATCCAAACATAATTATCCTTGACCTTCTTTATCTGAGAAAGATATCCCATTTGATGAAGAATGTGGTTTGGATAGGACATTTATTGAGTCATGAACAGAACCCAGAGAAGAGCTGAAATACATCCCGGGAAGAACACCCTTGCAGCCAGACAAGCTCCCCATGTGCTAAGAATCCTAGCAGATTTCCCTAGAATCACATTCTTCTCTGTATTCAAAGCATAAAACATGCAGGCAGACTTGTGTCAAGAAAAAAGAGCCTTTGGATATATAAAATCAGAAATACTGTATTTGACACGTGTCCCATGATAGCACTGGACTTAAAACTTAGCAACTTGGAAGCAAAAGGAAATGAAAAGATTATCAAGCATAAATCCTTTCATTTAACATCTGAAGAAACGGAGACCGAAAGAGATAAAGTGACTTTTGGCTAGGTCAATTCAGGGTCATTTTTCTTCACTTTTAATGTACGGGTCTGTTGCCTTTATGCTCCATCTCAAATTAAAATTTAAAAATCTTTTGAAGGTTTAATTTATTTACTATTTTTAGGGGGAGGGGCTAGGGCACAGCTGCCAGAACTCAGGGTGACTCCTTGTGGTGCTCAGGGGACCATAACTGGTGCACAGGATTTGAACTGGGGTCAGCAGGATGCAAGAAAGCAAGCATCTGAACCTTTGTGTTGTTTCTTTGGCGCAAGACACTTTTCAATGGATATTCAATGGTCCAATAAAACCTGCTGAAAACTTGTTTTGCTTTAACCTATTTCTTTATCAAAAAAAAATCAACTGTGTATGTTTGGATCTATTCTATTTCACTGTCTTCAATTTCTATACCAGAATCTTTTTGTCTTGATCACGATAGCTTTAGATTAAGCCTTAAGATTAGGTATAAAAATATCCTCCTACTTTAGTCTTTTTTTCTGAGGTATTATCCCTCCAAGTCAATAGAGAGGAGAAACAAAGACGGCAGAGTCAATGACGCGGCTGCAGGTCCTTCAGAGCCATGTTACGTGCCCTCCATGGTTCCCATGAGTCACTAAGAGGAAATGTTTCTCTGATACATTCTTACCAGAAAGCAATTAAAATGAAGAAAATATTTTACACTGAATAAAACTACTTCTTCTTTAAACCACTATGTCTTTAAAATAATTCCCAAACAGCACCCAAATCATTTGGAAGTCACAGTCCACGTGCATATTGCTCTACAGATGTAATGGTAATTAATCTGCTTTGTTACAGCCCTAATATAAATGTTTCTCCCACAGCTGCACCATCCTATGAGAAGGTTCTAACTCTCTAATGACAGACAGCTGTTTTGTTCTCCATTAGAGTGAAAGCCTCAAGAAAGAAACAGGTGTATGGTCTTAGAGTTATGCATAGTCCCTGACTGCAACGGAATGGAATATGCTGAGTAAATTGTTACTTTCGTCTCCTAATTTGGGCAGCATATATTTACCTCCTCATTTGTGTTTCCTTGGTTATGTGATTTGTTTTGGTCAAATGGTTAACAGAGAATGTAGCATAAGCAAAGACTGGAAATGCACTTGTACGGCATATTTGGGGTCTTATCCTCTATTATTTCACCATAAATGCACCTCTGATTGCAGGTCAAGGAGGATGAAAGACAGGGAGCAGACTGGAGGTTAGTGCGAGTCACTCTGAAGGTTGGAGACAAGTTCTACCAAACTCAGCCAAGATCAGCTGAACGCTAGACACATAAATAAAACAGAAATACTTGTCTTATATCCCTGAGGTTTGGGGTGGTTTGTTACACATCATTATTTTGGCAATGGCTGACAGATAAACCACTCAAATCTAGCCTTCCACATATGCTCAATTTCTATTTCAATACCTACAGCTGATAAATTTGAGAAATGTATAATGAAAATGAAAATGAACATGGTCTGCTTCTCTAAAGAAAGAAAACCTACTGTGGTGTTTCCACAAATCACTCTTCTCAAAAGTCAGTACTGAAAGGACTAGCATCTTCAAAATACCTACATGAGGTAGGTACCTAGATTTTGTTTATTTAATTGAATCACCATGAGCTACAGTTACAAACCTTTCCTGTTTGAGTTTCAGTCATACAATGATCGAACACCCATCCCTCCACCAGTGTACATTTTCCACCACCAAAGTCCCCAGTATCCCTCCCCCCATCCCTGTCCCACCCCTCCTCCTGCCCCTGTGGCAGACAATTTCCCCCAAACTCTCTCTCTAGTTATGGGAATTATGGTTTGCAACACAGATACTGAAAGGCCATCATGTTTGGTCCTTCATGTACTTTCAGCACACATCTCCATCCCAAGTTATCCCTCCAACCATCTGTCATAGGCACACAACTGCCCTTCACTAATGGCAGCCCCACACATCCTACAGCCTTTCTCTCACCTGTTTTGTTTTACAGTTTTGTGCCACACCTGGAAGTTCTCAGGTCTTACTCCTGGCTCTGCTTTCAGGGAACACTCATGGTTGGATGAAGGGAATCATATAGGGTGCCTGGGATCAAATGCAGGTGCCTGGGATCAAATGCAGGTGGACTGCATACAAGGCACACTCCCTGACTGCAGTGCCAGCTCTCCATCCCTGACCTTTCCTCACCTGTTCAGAAGTCTTGTAGAATGCCACGGAAGCGTTGACTAGTTTGAGCCTGTCTTCCATCTTGAGCATGAGCTGCTGCCAGTGGAGAGCCACCTTCTCAGCACACTCCCGAATGGCATCGGCATCATAGTGTCCAGCCTGAAGCAGCGCCTCAGCTTTCTGCTGCACCTGCAGGGCGCTCTGGTGCGTCTTCTGCAAGGAAGTGGCATGAAAGAGGGACTGGGCACAAGGGAAGGAGAGAAAGGTCCATGGGAGCAACCCAGGCGTGGTATGGGAGGGGTGGAGTGAGGCGTGAGTGGAAAGATGCAGAAAAGTTAAAGAGCTTTAGATGACTGGTTTACACATGTTGTTATGATGATTAATACATTATTATTTTACAAGCATATTTCTAAAAAATACTGCAATTTTCATTAACCCTAACCTCTGCCCTAGTCTTCTCTTCTACTTGGATTTCCCTGGGCTTTAAAGAGATTTCAGTTTCTGTAGTAAAGAAACAAACAGGCATATTAATGCTCCCTGACTGGTTCATAAAGAAAAGTTTTTTTTTCAAATCTAATTATACATTTGTCCATCACAATGAGTTTCTCAGAAGGTTTCATTGTTACAGTTCCATTTTGTGATCAAATAAGTTAACTTTTCTTTTTTTTTTTTGGCAGGGGGAGGAGCACAAACCCAGCAGTGCTCAGGGAATACTCGTGGCTCTGTGCTCACGGATCACTCCTAGTGGTGTTCAGGGGACCCTGTGGGGAGTCAGGAATAGAACAGGGTTTGGCCACGTGTAAGGCTTGAACCATTGTACTATCTCTCCCACCCCGCAATACACTTAAACAATATCCATGTATCACACTCATTCTAAACATCAATAAAAAGTAAGTAAAGTAAGTAAAGGCCCTCCCGTTGATCGTCGATTTGCTCGAGCGGGCCCAGTAACGTCTCCATTGGAGACTTTGTTGTTACTGTGTCTGGCATATCGAATACTCTCGGTAGCTTGCCGGGCTCTCCGAGAGGGGCGGAGGAATCGAACTCGGGTCGGCCATGTTGGCTGCGTGCAAGGCAGACGCCCTACCCGCTGTGCTATCGCTCCAGCCCATCAATAATCAGGTTAAAAGAATTTAAAAGAATTTCAGGAGAAGGAATAAATGGAAGAGTTTAATACAGTAGAAGAGTAGCATCTTATACCACCTCCCAGTTACCTCAGCTAGGGCACAGAGCAGCGCAATAAATCTCCATATTTACATTACTCATGTTTGCCTTCAGGATAGCATATGTATATCACATATCTACACATCAGATGCAAGAGCGTGTGTACACATTTTTATTCACGCTAGATGTGGCATGCATTCTGTGAGTTTGCATTAACCCCAGGTGGTGGGGAGACAGGTTGGGGACAGGGTGGCAAGGACAGAAGGAAGAGGGATTCAGATTCACTAGAACACTGATGCGGATGAGGCACAGGCCTTGAAAGACAACAGCCCAGACTCAGCTGCTGGGGTCATTTCAATCCAATGGCAAAAGGCTGTTCTGACCTCTGCACTTTCAGGATGCTGGCGGCCGAGCCACATACTCCAGGATTCTGTCTGCCCTTCTCAGGCAGCAGCATTAGGGGAGTGCCCGGAGCCAGTCCATTCCATACTCTGAGTGCAAACACCCTCATTTCCAAGCCTCACTTCACCACTCTCTCAGACTGCAGTCTTCACAGTCCTATTGACTTCTGCCAGCCTATCAAATGGCTCCTTGGTGTTCCTGCTCTCTCCTCAGCCTGCATGCAGCATTAGTCATGTTACCACAGCCTCCAGAAACCTTGGCTCCTTTCTTCCCTTGATTTGTCAACAGAATCGACCCTCCATCCTGATGACAACATACACATTTTGGTTTCTAACTGCTTTACAAATCCCCAAAAAGGTAAATTAAAATCTGGAAAAAAGAAAGCTAATAGACAAAAATGGTTCACTACAAATCTCTGGCTTCTTTTTCTATTTCATTTATTGATACTACATATTGCTAATATGTGAAATCAGTATATAACTGTTACCATAAACCCATTATTATGTCTTTTTTTCTGAGACTAGGGGAGTAACTTCAAGTTTTCTATCATATGCTATGTAATAAATCATCTTCCTTATTCGGAAACTTATCATCTAACAGTACAGGGAGCTCCTGCCCCCTTTAACTTCCCAATGATAAACTCTTATGCATATAACATTGTCTTTGCTTTGCTAAGCTTGTGTCCTTATTTTGCATTTATTTATATACAATACTATTGAGTGCTATATCTTTAAACATAAATTAACAAGGATGTTTATATTTAGAGTACTTAGAAGAAAATGAAATCAATTGAAATAGTTATCCAGTTTTACCTACTTTTTTCTGTTATAATGCTTATGCTTAAAAGTATGAAAGAATTTCAAATAAAACGAATTTTAAAATCAGCTTCCTTCTGAGATATTCACAATTCATAAAGACATTGATCAAAATATAGGGAACAACAAATAATTTAGGTTTGCTAAGGAAGCTATGTCTCTGAGTGCTTCTCTCCATTCAGAATGACTCTGGGGAGGTTTTCTGAAATGAAGACTATTTCAGGTGAAAATTATAATCATGTCTGGGACAACCAAAATCTTCAAAACTAATGAGGTCACTCAAACTACAGTGAGCATAAATGCTGCTTTGCCAGGAAGGTTCTAGAGTATGCCTATTTTTATGGCTTAAATATCAATAATTTCTTCCTTCATTCTTTAAAGTATCTTTGTTTTAACAGTAAATTTATATCATCTTACACATATATATTTTATTTTCCTTTCTAGTACCCTGGGTGTTTTTCTTTGTGCCTAGTAAATCAAATCATGCCCTCTACAAGCAATCACTGTAAAAGCCTCTCAATGACACCATCAAAATGGGCTGAGCCAAAATGTACTATCTCACCTTCATGTTGCCTAAATTCTCCCTGACCCATTTCTCTCTAATGCAGACCTGGTCTACACTGATGCATTTAGAGAGAAAATGAGATTACTTGGAGATGGAGGATATGTTAAAATTCTGGTTTCATTTTCTTCATCTTTATAGTCCACAGACCCTGTCTACGTTTCATTCCCCAAATCTTCCAAAAATCATCTTTTTTCCTTTTGAGGCCACAGACAAATTCTACACAAATACTCAGAAATATGTCAACATTAGTTCCAAGAATATTTAATAAGGTTGGCCCTATGTAGAAACAACCAATTAAGAAATGTATCTACTTTGTAAAGATGCAACAGCATCAAGTACAAATTAATACACAATACATACTATTACATGAAAGGCACTTGGAATTCGGTCATTTAAATAATGGTGCTAAAGCACTGCCCACTGGCTTCCACTAGCTCACTGAGACACTCAAGTGTGACAGGACACTTGGTTTTATTTGTTCAGCATCTGATTGAGGTAGGGAAGATGCAATTACCTAACAGGACAAGTCAACCTTCACATTAAGGATAAACACAGAGGAGATATAGCTAGGAGTTGTCTTCTCTCCTAACAGGCATTTCTCATGCTTCATGCCATTCCTCTAGTCTGATGCCCAACTTTTGTTTTTTGCGTTCACCATATAACCTGGGGGTTTGATTAGAGCATGCCTGATTCTTGCCCACAATCCTGATCTTGTTTTTTTCTTTACTGTTTGTAGATCTTAACACTCGTGTGAAGGCATGCCAGTAAATTACAATAGAGAATAACAAAATCATAAAAATAAAACTTCACTCCTTAGTTTCTTCTTAGAAAATATTTTGCTCACCCTATATGTATAATATAGTTTAATTTTAAATCTCAAATCCCATACAGTCCCTTTAGTACAAATAATTATTCCTTAAGAAGATATATGGCATTACAAAGAACAATGTCACTCATGTTAATCATATGACCATGTTTACACATACAAGGTTTCTGGAAATTAAATAGATGAAAATCAATAATAACTTAAAAATACCCACTTATCTGCATGAAAGATATAACTATAAGCACAATTAAAATTTTTATGACTGTGGAAAACTCCCGTTTATAGTCATTAATATAATAGTGACTTTTTTACATATACAGAAGTAGGTTGAGTTTTACTGAATGACAAGAAATACATGTATCTGAATTTTCCACTTTCTTTAATCTTATTTTTCCCATGGGTACTGAACTTGTTTTAATTTTTAATTTAGCTCCCATGTCCCATTTCCTACTCCCTTCCCCACACCACTCTAAAATAATCAGCTCAAGTCTCTATGGGATGGCGAATGTTCTAGTAGAAAGGATAATTAAGGGTATTATTTAAAGCAAGACTTTATTTATAGTAGAGTGTCATAAGTAGAATTATAAAGTAGCCTTTAAAATAACCTCAGCTGGTAAACTTCTGGTTTCGTTTTACTCTTCAAATACGACTCCTGAGAGAATTTCCGAGCCAGTACTTGAGTGAAAGAAGGCTCTCTGCAACCAGTGCTGATGCTAACTGTTCCCGTTTAAGGCAGAATCTGAGCACAGAACCGAAGGTTACCTCGAAGGCCTTCTTGAAGTGAAAAACTCCAACTGTGTTTCGCGATCAATGACTGGTAACAAGGAGGCTATCTGGACCATTTCACTACACTGAATGAGCTTCACAACCCAAAGGCATACCCACATGTTGAGGCATCATCTCCACCTGGGGTGCACAGCAGAAAGGGAAGGGAGGATGGCAGAGGTGGATTTGGGTGTTACCTCGATGGCCAGTTGGAACTGCTCGTGCTCCCGCTGCAGCTGCTCTGCTTCAGACAAAGAGCTGGCATTGACCAGGCTGGCACTGAGCATCGACTCTCCGTTGCGGATCCATCCCAGGACCTACAGAGTTAAGAACACATGTGAATGGCCTCACAAGAATGCCTGGGAGCCTTTTGTGATGAACCCTTCAGAGAGAGCTTGCTATTGTCTAACCACTCTTGGAGACAGAAAGGATCTGGGTAATTAAAATAGCAACCTTCCCAATATGACCTAGAACCTGGCATTATAAGATATTAATTATAAACACCAGCCTCACGCCTACCTTCATGTATTCTTCCTTAACCTTATCACCCCTTGTGCCAATTTCCTCACCTGCTTAAGTTAAACACCTGCTTAAGTTTTATTAGATTAAAATGCACATACATTTCTGAAGTTCCTTCTAGGAGAAAGAATGATGTAAGTGAGTATATTATATTTTTGGTATTCCTTTCCTTTTTAAAGATCCAGTTCAAATATTATCAACTTCCTAAAATCTTTCATACCTAATCATTCCTATTAAAATCAATCTCTTCCTCATCTAGTACAACCATTTTGCATGCACCATATTTATGGATATCTACACAAAATTCTTTGTTGTGTCATTTCAATCACATTTCATCTTTCCCCTTAGTGCAAACTTGTGACAGACCAGGACAATATGTTAGCCAAATGTTCTTTCACATAGTGTCTAACACAGTACTTTGCTAATGCTAGGTACACAGTAATTTCTTTGAAAGAGTAAATGATTATGGACAATACACAAGTCACTCTTAAGCTGGTCCAACATTGGGCATGGGTGCAATATCCTATGCTTGCAAAACAACTACTGTTAGACAGTTCTGAGCTTTGCTAGGTGAACAACCCAAAGAGGGGAAAAGAAAAGGAAAACAAGTTAAATAGCATGAATAATCAATTCTCTGGCTCATTAGAAAATGGAAGAGTAAGTTATAACTGATTTAAATTATCTAAGGACCATGAATAGGCTGAGTAAAATATCTAGGTGACCTTAATTAGGACTGGAGAGACGACACTCAACTAGAAACTATTAGAATGGAAGGAGAAATAGCTGACTCTGTACAGACAGTGCTAGGTGAAATGGAGTTGTGGAAATTACCTAGCTAATAGCATCAAGCATAAATAATCAAATGGGAAGAATCATGCCTTGAAAATGTATATCGTCGCTGGGCACCAGAAAACTGAAAAATATTTTATTAGTAAGTCTAAGAGTTTGCTTGAAAATTCTGAGTTTTCAAGATCAGCAAACACATACATCTGTTACTCAAGGCAATGGAGAAGATACAACAGTCTATTTCAATTTTCTTTCTTCTCTCAAGTTTCTTAATATCAAACAACTAGAAAAAACGAGTAAGCCTGGTTTCCAATTTACTAGTCTGTGTAGACATTTCTCAGATTTCCTCCTTGGCCACTAGGTGACTGATGCCATATTGAACAACTATTACATGGGGGATAAACTGGACCCCAGATGGGCTATTTGGATTAAGTTGTTCATTCATGGTCAGTCTGGCAGATTGTAGATAATATGCCAATCTGCAAAGCAATTAGTTGCCGGAAATAACTGCTCAGTGTGTATATGTATGAGACTCTGATGCCAAAGTTGTTCTGTGGTTGGCTGGCCAGAGATGTTGATGATTTCCAAAAGCTGCCTCTTGGGTACATCATACATGGATTGCATGCCCAAATACTTCTCTCTGAGAAATGGAGCTCACAACATGCATTTTTGCCATGATTCACAGCATTTTTCTTGGCTCCAGATTTATCTTAGAATGACTTTTTTTTTATCCCTGTGCACCACAAATCAACAGTTGAGAGTTTGTCTCCTTTCTGGTCTTCTGAGTCTTGCTGAAATATTTTTCTCGCTAGCTGTTGTCAACTGGAAAAATTGGTGTTGGGGTTCCCCATTTATCCCCATTTAGAAATATCATAGTCTTCAGTCTGTTTCTTATCAAATCATGCAACATCATTGATATCCTTAATCATTTTAATTTCCAAATGCTGTTTATAGAGGCATTTCACAACTTTAGCATAAGAAATTTAACTTTAGGAAGATAAAATGCATGATTGTTTATATTCCTCTCTGAGGTTCATAAGTAGGATGGATTTCAATGATTGAGTCAGAACTGGAAGTTAACCAGAGATGGTGTTGAAAGAGTGAGTGCAAAATATGAAGTGAGAACTCCTGGCTTTGTTACCACATGGCAAGATCACGGATGCATCTGAGTCTATATTTTCTTATCTGTAAGGTATGAGTACTGGCATCGTTCCTCTACATCAGGGTTGGTACAAGAAACTGTAAAACTTAAAGCCTGATGATAAGGTAAATGTAAAGGCCCTCCCGTTGATCGTCGATTTGCTCGAGCGGGCCCAGTAACGTCTCCATTGGAGACTTTGTTGTTACTGTGTCTGGCATATCGAATACTCTCGGTAGCTTGCCGGGCTCTCCAGTTTTTAATTTGCAAATATTCCAGTATTTGCAAAACTTGCTGTCATATTCTTTTATGATGTACATATATGTACATCATATATGTACATATATGTACATATGATGTACATATCTTATTTATTATAATCACTCTTTGTATTTTGATTAATAATTAAACTTGATAAAATATGATAAAATATGATGTACATATATGTACATCACATATGTACATATATGTACATATGATGTACATATCTTATTTATTATAATCACTCTTTGTATTTTGATTAATAATGAAACTTGATAAAATTTTCTTTTATTGCAGTCCATTATCTTCCTGGCCCTTCTGGTTACTTATTCTTCTGTGAGACTCTAAATGAATTCCAGGTAGTAGAGAAAATTTTGTAATAAAAATAAGAGAAAAATTCTACTAATATTGAGATATGTGACTTTGGAAACATTAATCTCTGATTTTCCATATTATTATTATATTAGTTTGGGGGTCACACTGGGCAGTGATTAGGGCTTACTCCTGGTTCCTTGCTCAGGGATCACTCCTGATGGGACTTGGTGAACCATATGTGATGCTGGGGATAGAATCCACGTTGACTATGTGCAAGGCAATTACGCGACCCATTTCATTATCTCTCTGGCCCCTAATGTTCAGCTTATTTTCTATAAACTGACAACACTTTATTGCCCAAATCACAGGGCAAAGATAAAATAATGTAAAAGTATTTTAAAATAATGTAATAAATGGTAACTAACTGAACATGTTATGTTACTCAGTGATCTTGAGTTGCAGTCTACCTATTTGGTTAGATGACCTCTGAAGACCACATCCAGTCCTAACATGTCACGGTTCTTTCTAAATTCACAGACTGCTCCTATCACCACCTCATGGGGTACTAGGGAGAGTTTGTTCTGTAGAAATGAGGGAACTGGAAGAGTGTTGATACTTGGGAACTTAGGAGTTACCACCAAAACTTCAGCTTAGTCTAAGGTGAAAGGGAGATCTTAGTCTAAGGTGACAATTAGTCTAGGGTGAAACTGAGATCTCAGTCTAAGATCTTATCTAAGGTGAAATTAAGATGTCAGATGTCCCCAAGTTAGAAGATGGATGTGGCTAACTGGATGCGAATGCTTACAAACTAAACTGGGTCCGCTGGGTGCTGTACAGTGTAGCTAGGGAAGCTATATATAGTTCTGATATCAAAGTCATACACAAAAAAACGCTATGAGGAGGCACTTAAGGTCACTAGACTCTAGAGCTTGCTATGCTCATTACAAGGTACAGACAGATTTCTGAAACTATAGACATAGGAAACATGGCTAGTGCCTTTGACAGGAAATGGGAGCCTAGAGTACTTTCACCATATCAGTTCTAAATTTCTGAAGTTACGTTTTCATCCCTTAGAGTCTTACAGATGGTGACTATATGTCTTCTTAATAGCTCCAGGTTTAGTTGGGGCCACCCTCTCTGTCAGGCATAGGCCAAGACCACCCATCTTACATGTGCTGCGGCAGAAGCATGAAAATCACAGTGCTCTGCCGGAGGGATTCTTTCTATTGATTTTGGAATTCCTGAGTGGGTGGGGGCCCAGTATCGGCTAACTGTCGGTAGGAACCTGGACCTATGAGGTTTGGACTTACTTAAGTTTCAGCCAACCAGTGAAGAGATCCTAGAAGGACTAATTCTGTGATGCCTCAGTTTTCTCACTTATACACATGTAACATAACTTGTCTCCCCACAAAATAAATAAAACTCCTTTGGATCTCTTGTGGATCTACTTCAGCTCCTTTATAATTTCTATGTACAGTGAAGATAAGTGAACACAATATTCTCAACAGGAATATAAAACAGAATAATATTTCACCCTTTGCTTTCACTGTCCACCATTGTTCATACGTAATTTCTGGCCAGTATTTTCTTCAGAAGTGTAATTAGGTCAGTCTTTGGTAGACAAGTAAACCTAATTTATTTCTCTATAGCTTAGAGTATCAGCATCTTATGAATTTATTTTGGCTTAAATGTTTTGCAGGAATACAGAAATACATATGGAAATTCATATAATCTTATGCCCACTGATTAGGCTGTTCAGATTTTCCTGAATGATCTTAACAAATGCTCAATTTTACTCAAGATCGTTTTCCTGGAAAACGATCAGCACATTCTATGGGTTCTAAAAAATACATGTATTCTCTAGAAAAAAGGGAGATCAAGGCAGCCAAGGGTCCTATATAATCAGGGGGGTAGTTTAGTTTCAAGATTGAACATTTGTCCAGATGCATTTGGGTCATTTCTCTTAGTGCAAAGTTCCTATGTAATCTTTCAGGAAGCAAATCAGTTGCATTAATCAATATCATTTGTTTCAAAAACTTGAAAATAATTTCTAGTTTAATGTCGTGGCATCCTCTCTCTACACAAAGTTTCAATTTAATATCACTGTAATATCACTACACTTAGATTCTGATGACCAATCCAAATCTTTCATTTGAGTTTTAGTGACAGAGATGTATAATGACACATTGTTGTCCTCCCTTTTTCTGTACCTATTAATGGCATTTCAACCAAGGTGCTATTTTCTCTCTTTCTTTCTTGGAGAGTATATTCAAAAGAGAAACACTCAAGTTACTGCCTAAATTTAGCTCCCCTGATCAATACTGACATCTAAATTAACTTCCTTTTTCCAGGTGTCAACAGCTCCCAAATCAATATTTCCTACTCCAATACGGTCCATCAGACACAAATGCCTTCTCTGAAACGAAATCAGACAAGTCCCTAAAGAAAACCTTAGGCTGACAAGGAAAACAAGTCTGTCTAATGAGGCATGGTGGCCTAACCAAGCATCTGTCCCTTGTCACCTCAAAAAAACCACTGTCTGCTGCAAAGCCCGTGATGTTTTCTAGTCAACTAGAGCAGTTGCGTTCCTGTTTGAGCTGCACCCCTTGATCACATTCACTAAAAATTTATTCTTCATGTTCTGTGACTCATGAAATACTGCTGGGAGTGGATCAGTTATTAGCTAAGCCCTCACTGATGCTGTGGAGACCACCTGAGAGCAGTGTCCCCCGAGCTCTGTCACCTATACAGAATTTACACTAGTAGGACAAACAATTCATTTTAAATTTGGTCAAGAAAAACATAGAGTGTTGATTCTACTATTTATGTGGTGACAAAAATAAACTAGATGAAAATTTTAAACTGGAGAGGTGGAGCAAAAATCACACTATTCATTTTGAGGTCAAGTAGAAATATCCTTCCTGCATCTGCTTTGTCCACAGGCTCATTCCTGCCACTTTCCACTGGTGGAAACAAGCTTGTATGAACTCCCGTGACCTTTTGGTCCCTGACCAAGCAGGCAGGGGCCACCCCTCTTCTCAGATGCCCCATACTGTGCTCTGCTAGAGAGTTTCTTTCTGCTTCCTGTAGAACCAGCAGAGATAAACTCTAGGACCTTGGATGTGACGTTTGTAACTCGTTTCAGTTAAGTGGTCCTGAACACTAATCATATGGTACCTCAGTTCCCTCACCCATAAGTAAATAGAGGGTCAGGAAGAGAGTTTCAAAGTTCGGCTTGCTTGCCTTGCGTACATGAGCAGTATCACACGGCTGCTGAGTACTGCTGGTTACATTTCTCTGGCTCCGTGCTGCTCACGGTCCCAAGCACAGAACCACAGGCCCAGCATATCACCAGAATGACCCCTGAGCACTGCTCAGGAGCCCTTCATACCCAAAGGATAACACCATTCTCCACAACACTATTCTAAAATGAAATAAATGAGAAAGCACCTCTCATATAAAAGTATTGTCACTACTGCCAGGAGTTTCAGGACTTGTCTACACCACTCTCGGATTTCCTAGTAGGATTCCTAACATGTCCTTACTAGGAAAAACAAGTATCTCTAGAGGTTCAGGTATGATCCAAGTATACTTACAAAACCACCTGAAGAGAGGGAAGTGGACGCTCTGGAGAGGGCGTGGTGCTGGAATTTTTATGCATAAAACCCTCCCATTAACAGTATTGCAAAACATGGTGACTATAATTTTAAAAAAAAGCACCGGGCTGGTAGTGCTGTGCAGTGACTTAGCTTGGCACACAGGGATATTGCCTGCCCTGAGAGATGGGTATTCAGCATAGCCTGTGTGGGCTCTGGCTGAACTCTTACTGGAAGCAAACGGGAGCAGACAAGATAGCTTTTCTCATGATAATAATTACAATTTAGGGCCAGAGCAATAATACAGTCGGCAGGATGGTTGTCTTGCACACAGCCGATCCGGGTTCAATCTCCAGCATTCCACATGGTCTTCCAAGAACCGCCAGCATTAAGCCATGAAGATTGCTGGGTGTGGCCCAATCCTCTCCAAAACTTGTAATTTAATAATTACAGTAACAAAGGCAAAGGCACTAGCAAAAAATACTCTGAATGCAAGGGAACAAGCAATAATTAGTTCAAGTATGATGCTTTGTTCCCAATGCTTAATTAACAGAGTTGACTAAGACAGTGTAACAGACACCATTCATAAAAAAAAAAGGCTAAAGAGGAAGAGAATTCTCTGCTAAGGCTAGTCCCCTGCTGAGAAGGACAGGAAGGGTCACTTGGGAGAGTCAGGAGAGCAAGGAGTAGCACAGGTGTGTGGGGGAGACACAATGAGCTCCCTTGCCTCTCTGTGACCACTGCCTGGGGTCTCCTGTAAAATAAATATTTTATAATATGTCAGGTAATATCTGCCTGTGAGAATGGGAAAACTGGTGGGGAATTGGTATGAAAGGTAACTAGTATTCAAAAAATTCAAGAAAAATTCAAGTATTTCTTCAACCCATTTGTTTAATAGGAAACACCCACTTATTATGCTAATAACTAAAGCTCACTCTGCATATAAATAAACTTAAACAATGTGCCATTGGTCAATAAGTAGAGGTCCCTAGAGACACTAGGTACATCTTGAACAAAATGGTTAAGTAATGTCTCATAAAGACAGGATTTTTTTTTCATTTTAAAAATTAATTTCAGGGGCCAGAGCAATAGTACAGCATATACGGTACTTGCCTTTCACATGATGAACTAAATCTCTGGCACTCCATATGGTTTCCTGAGCATTGCCAGGAATTATCCCTGAGTGTAGAACCAGGAGTATGCCCTGAGCACTGCCTGATATGGCTCCAAAACAAAACAAAACAAAAAACTTTAATATGGAAACATTTTCTTAGACTGATCACATGCAAAAAAAATGATTGCAACTTCTATCACTTATTGCCTCAACTGTGTGTCAGATGCTGTCTGAGGTATACAGGTTCTGGGGAGATCATTATGCATGACTCTGAACCCTGAATATGTTGATAAAGGATTTGTATTTCTCATGAACTGTTTTCCAGAGTTGAGGACAGACAGAAAGAGAATAGAACAGTGACTGAGAAAAAGCTTGAGAGAGTTGAGGCTCTCCTCAGAGTGTAAAATAAGAGAGAAATTAGCATGAGTACTCTGAGCCATTGTACATTAGATTAACTGTTAAGTCCAATAAGTAGCAGACTAGCTTTCAGAAACTAATATAATCATGTTCAGACTTACCTATTGGTTCTATTAGGATGACACCTATTACTGTATGCTTGATGTCCTCTAGGCTAAGCCCAGTTGGGCTGAGCCGCTTGGAAGCCCTCGCTGAAGGTGGAGGAGCAAGCTCACCTGTTTGACCTCAGCCTGTAGGTGCCGCAGTTGGAGGCACTGCTCAAGTCGCTTATGGGTCTGCTCTGCATTGAGTTCCAATTCATGTTGCTTCTCATGGAGGAACTCCAATAGCTCTTGTACCTGGGCTGCCAGATCAATGTCTTTCTCACATATTAACTCGATTCCTGGTTTAAACAAAAGGCAAACAATTAAAACCCAGATGGAACTGTAGAGACTACATTTCCTTCAATATATAAATGAAAGTTGAGATTTGGAAATAGCCATTATCAGTGCCCACCCAACCTCTACATGTTCCTCTCTGACACTGGAGAGACACCATCATGATTTTGTTTGGGTGTTCAAGCTATGCCATCTCTTTCAGGCTAATGAACTCTTTACCTGGGAAGACTTTGTTAACATAAGTTTAGCAATTTCTTTATTATCAACTGATTCAGAGACAAGATGGTTCTCTGCAGGGAGAGGAGGTCTCTTCTCAAGCCTCAGGATTACAATGAGAAATATAACAAAACCGAAAAGACCTTGCCAGGACCTTCTTTCAAGCTAGTTTCCATTTAGTTGGTTAGATGCAATGTAATATCATTACATGCTAGCTCCATTTTGAGTAAAGCAGGCATATTCATATGCTTATTTCCCCTAAAAAGGGCAACTCTTAGAAATATAGGATAGCTCTCATACATCAAATTCAGGCAAGCACACCAGAAACATGTACCCCTGCTATATCACAGAAGAACAAAAGTGACACAATGAGAAAAACTATCACTTTAGGTTGTGTCCACACAAGGAGAGACAGTTTACCATCCTTCCACAGATTCAAAACAATGAGTAAGTCCAGTGAATCACTAACAAGGGTACCCCTTGCTTCTGGATATACAGAATGAATGAACCGCCAAATCTCTGTCCTCAGATGAGAACCTGCTTTAGTGTCCATTTATCAAACTGCAGCTCCATTTTTATCTACTTCCCTCCAGGTCTCCCTGTCCTCCCGACAGACTCACGTGCGGATGCACACATCATTTCTCATCACCAAGCCAGAGAAAAGAGACTTCCTGTGTTTGGTAGCTACTTGAGCTTGACTCAGCACCTGGCTCTCAAAATAATGGCATGCTAAGAACACCAGCTTTGTGTAAGTTTTGAGTCAGAATCCTGATCTTGGGCAAGTTACCTTAGCTCTTAGTAGCTTCATTTTCCTCATGTATAAATAAGATAGAATTGTACCTGCCCACATATCCATAAGCTACATGCCTCTGAAGCTTAGTCGGACAGTAAATAAAACAATGCATGTGAAGCAAGCTCACGAAGCAAAACAAACATGGATCTTTGTTCCTTGTTCTCGAGGCTTTCCCAGTCCCTCTTATGCCTTCACCTTTTTGCCTTCTTACTTCCATGCCTCTTGGTTCTTGTCTATGTCCATCTCAATGCAAGTCAAGATTCAAACTGCTTCTTGATTGTGATTGTTTGCCTATTTCTGATTTAACTTTGCTTATGTTTTTTTTTTTCTTTTTAGGCCACTCCTGGTGTTGCCCAGGGGTTACTCCTGGCTCTGTACTCAGGAATTACTCCTGGCAGGGGACCATATGGGATGCTGGGGATTGAACCCAGGTCAGCCATGTGCAAAACAAATGCCCAAATTGTTGCTCTATTGCTCTGGCCCTCAACCTTGCATAGATATTTAGCGTTGGAAAAATCCTAACTAGGACTGGCTGCGTCCTTTTAATCCCTGATTTTATCTGGCTCTTTGGCTTATTTTTGTCCAGATTCTCTCATTGGCTTCTAATCCTATCATCCATGGCCTTGTGATCATAATGCAGGCACCCTGTCTCAGAGACTGACAAATAGAGACCTAAGCAACAATGCGGTTCAGACCCAAAAGTCTAGTAGACATATCACCGAAGGGTATGTGTGTCCATGCAGAGCACTCCCAAGGGAGCCCACCAGCCTCAGTGCATGCCTAGCTAAAAATAAGTCCCTCTTGGAGGCTTCCCCATCACTCTGACTCATACTTCCAGAAATCTACCAGTGCCACCAACAACACACCTGTGATACAGTCGGGGGCGTGCAGGGAAAGTCTGTACATGCTAAGAGAAAGTTATTTTTAAAGGTAAAAATAGTGCTTTACATAAGGGCAATATGGAAGAGTGGGATAGATTCTTTTGGTGTCACATGGTAATAATTTCAGTATCTTTTCATGTTTATTTTTTCTGTAAGTTTCATAATTCCAAGCCCTAGCTCCTGAAATATCTGTGGGAGACAGAAAAAAGAACGGCTTGTTCTTTTGGCAGCCAACTCCCTCTAGTTACTATTTTCAATTACCAAGGGGGACAAGGTAGAACATCTCCTTGACTGAAATGAAAAATAAGACATACAAAATTTCTATCTCTAGAGTGCTTGGCCTAGTAGACCTTTGGCCTCTGTATTCATTTTCTGAAAAAGTAATTTAAGATTCATCAGATCGAAGCAGATCGAAGCTCTTCCCTGATTCTCTCCATAATTAAGTTTTTTTTTACAATTCATTTTCATGCTGTATGCATCGCTGGTGTTTAGCACTCTGGCTTGGACAAAGTGTCTCTCTATAGGAAAGTCCTGGTTTATCCTTACCATATCATATGTAAATAGCCTCTCTAAGTCTGGTACCTCAATTTAAGGGCTAGCCACCCAAATTGAACTACATCCAGAACTGGATTTCAGATAGGTCTTCATTTTTTTTTTTTTTGCGTCACACCCAGCGATGCTCAGGGGTTACTCCTGGCTTTGCACTCAGGAATTACTCCTGGCAGTGCTCAGGGGACCATATGGGATGCTGGGAATCAAACCCGGGTCAGCCGCGTGCAAGGCAAATGCCCTACCCGCTCTGCTAGCACTCCAGTCCCCTTATCTACTCTTTTGATATTGTTTCATGTGAGAGGGATGGGATACTCTCACAGCACAGCGGGCAGGATATTTGCCTTGCATGCGGCCGACCTGGGTTTGATTCCTCTGTCTCTCTCAGAGAGCCCAGCAAGCTACTGAGAGTATCCCGCCACATGGCAGAGCTCGGCAAGCTCCCTTTGGCATATTCAATATGCCAAAAACAGCAACAAGTCTCACAATGGAGACATTACTTGCGCCCGCTTGAGCAAATCAACGAACAATGGGAGGACAGTGCCTCAGTGCTACAGTGAGAGGGATACAGAGAAAAATGGGTAAAGACAATGCCTCCTGTGTCTCCTTCAATAGTACACCAATTTATAGACAGAGTGAATGAGAGAAATGGCACCCAGAATAATAGAAACACACCCATCTCCCTCTGCTCCCAAACACAGTATATAAGTTCCAGTTAAAATCCATCAACTGGTAAATATCCATCGATCAACAGCAAATAGTGTTTGCTTGTGTTAACATTATAGCTCTCAGTATAAGCATAGGCCTGTCTTCCTTAGAGGCACTCAGAAATGGAACAAGACATTACTATTCTTTCCACCAAGTAGAAAAATATATTCCAATTGAAATAGTTTGTCAGTCTCTTGAAAGTTGAATTGAGGTTTCTTTTTGATGTGCCCCTACAGTGTCCTGTGCCCACCCCTCTGTCAATCAGAGCACTTCCACTGAGGTTGGCTCCCGATTAACTTGTTCTCACAGGAATACAGGGTCCTCTGATGCCAGCGACACATCTGACTTATGTCTCTTGGCTTCTTCAGAACACATGTAGGGACTGACTTAGGGGATCAAAGAATTCCTGTAGTGAACATAGGGCCCACTGTAGGGAAGAGCTCAGATCAGGGGCTATGGAGGAAAGCACCCAAGGGTTTTGGAAAATAGTAGCACAACGGAACCCATGCTTTGCAACCTGCCAATGGTGAGTGTCTCAACTTTGAGTCCTCTCTGGACCTGGTTAGAATAGAAATCCCAACACAATGTCTCAGGTTATTGTGATGACAAGAAGAAAAGGTCCATCCAGCACCAGGCTCAAAGTGGACTCAAAAATAAGTATTCTCATTGTTTCATGTTGAGAAAACTAGTATTCGCTGTTGATTACAGATAGAATGTTGGGTGAGTTGTATAAATACCATCAGGATTTTATGTTCCTGCTCAAATATATCATGAGAAATTATGGTGGGTTGGAGCCTACCAGACTAGTGCTCTCAACTTTGGCTCACACTAGATTTACATGATGAACTTTTCATAATCACCATCTCCTGGTCACACCCCAATCAAAGAACATCTATGTAGGTAACTCCTGGGTATTAGAAGATACCTTAAGAAATTCCCAGGGTGATTCCAACATAGGAACATGACTGGAACCCACTGGATAAGATAGTAAAATGTCTAGCAATTCAGGGACAGAGATTGTTAGCTTACACACAGCAGAATGTACTACCCTGTTTATGACTCAAGACAACTGCTAATAAAAAATATTTTTCTTTCCTTTATCTTCTATGTCCACACTATCACTTTAACTCCTCCAGAAGACAGCTGACTATGGTTTAGGGAAGCCCCCGTTGCCCCTTCTGACATTATTTCCTTCCCGTGGTCCCTCTGTCCTACAAGAGAGTGCCCAGTCTTGTGCCATGGCTCCCCATACACATTATTTTTTTTCACTTGTGGTCTCCTTGGAACATTCAGGGGACCTACAGGGGCCATATGCACCCCTCTTGAGAAATGCTGATTTAGGGTAAAATTCAGGCACTCCTGGGTATGCTGTCCATACTTGTAAAATTTGTGTGTTCTATAAATAACTGTATCTTTCTCAGATAGAAAACATCTTCTGTTGTGTTTTTTCCACCCACTCCCCTCTTCATGTCACTCTCTCAATATATTCAGTTCAGAAATCACTAAGTTTTAAAATCAGGTTTTTAGATCAGTAGTCTCAACCTTGGATGTACATCAGAATCACCGGGGAAGTTAAAAATATCCCTACTAATTAAGAATCCCAAAGGGATGGGCCCAGACCTTGGTATTCCTGAGAAGTTCAGGAATTGATGCTAAATGTGCATCCAGGCTGAGAACCGCTGTTCTTCATGGCAGATTTATTCCCCTCTTTTCAGCCTCCACCAGACCTTCATTCCTATTAATCTTAGAGTAGCTCCCATACTGGAAAAACACAGGCCTGGCCTCTCTTTTCATGACACAAGTAAGATTATTTGTAGCCCATTATTTTCACCTACATCTGTTCCACCCACAATGATGCTTATTCTTGATTAATTAAGCAAACATTATCATTGAAAACAAGCTATGTGCAAGACTGAACCACTCCAGTGGGTGCTGGGAATGGAAACAGAAGGAAGACTCTTGTCTCATGCTGCTGATGCCACAGGATCCCAGAAAACCTCAACAAAATGCAATAGTGCTAGAAAACCAGTATCACATTTGACAGTTATTGAACTTTAGTAACCTTTGTCCTGCCATGTAGAATCCCACTGTATCCTCACCCCTGTGAGGTGAATAAATATTTATTTATTTATTTATTTATCCCACTGTATCCTCACCCATGTGAGTTGAATAAATAAAAAAAGATTATTTATCTTTTACTTCAGGGCAACATTTTTTTTTCTTTTTGGGTAACACCCAGCGATGCACAGGGTTTACTCCTGGCTCTGCACTCAGGAATCAACCCTGGCGGTGCTCAGGGGACCATATGGGATGCTGGGAATCGAACCTGGGTTGGCCGCGTGCAAGGCAAATGCCCTACCCGCTGTGCTATTGCTCCAGCCCCTGGGGCAACATTTGGCAGAGGTTTGGGGGTGATTCTGGCAGTTCTGAATGGGGAGGGAGGATATGGTGCTGAGGATGGACTCCTGGGCTCCTGAATGCAAGGCATACACTCGGCCCATTTAACATCTTGGCCCTGTGTGGTAGATATTCTGATTGCCATTTTCCAGAGGAAGGCAAGATTAGAGAAACTGCACATGCTCAAGGACAATTAGTCAGAGGTATGGCGAGGATTCCAACACAGGCGGTCTTCCTGACTTGCCTGTACTCAAAAAACAGTGATCCTTATAAATCCTAGTTTAAGAAATTACTTTCAAGTGCTCTGACTGGCTCTATCTAGGAATAGCAAATTTTAAGCATCATTGCCACAGGCTTCCAAAAAATCTTATATAAAACCTTATATAAGAGGCATTGATGCTTTTGATTAAACCACAAAAGCAACACATTCATAGGATTCACAATCCTTGTCTTATCCTCCAGTCGTGGGTAGGAGTCATAACGTCTGCTTTCATCAGCGAGGGGCTGTGGAGAGGTGAAAATTAATCAAGGAATGTGACAACTGGAAGGGATCTCTAGAATCTAGATCCTCCCACCACATTTTAGAGAGCTAAGGTCTAAAGAGAAAGAAAAGGGACTCCCAGAGTCAGACACTGAGGTCAGAACTGAACTTTGTTTTTGTTTCTGCTATTGAAGTTCAGGTGACGTGTTTACAGCAGTGTCAGCGTTTATGGTTTTGCTAAAGTCACTGCACTTGCACCACTAACAAAACACTCAAGATCCTCCGTTGCTGTTCTCTTTTGTTGTTCCCAGGACTCTCCATTCCGAGCCTCACGAACAGGAAGTGTCCAGTTTCACTTCCTTACGCCACCCCTTCTCCACACTGGAACCTGACTTGGTGCTTTCTCACACTTGGCTTTTTCCAGAGAAAAACCTGTCTCCCTACTATAGATAACATAACAATGAGGAGAGAACAATGCATAAATGAAGAATTTGTCCCTTTTTTGGCTATCTATTCTAAAGAGGGATGTTGACTCAACCAAAGGTTTTTTCTTTGGCACTCTCAGAGGGATTTCACAGAACCTGGTTCAGTATTACAAATTCCACACCTGAAAACAAACAAGGAAAATCTCTATATCCATATACTCCAGTCAAATTGAAGCATAAAGCCCTTGATTTAGTTAGGAGGGCAAAATACCAACTGCAATCTTAGTTTTGCTGTTATTTTTCTAAGTCTTTAGGTCAAATACAATTTATCAAATATACACTGTGAATGCCCATTTACTGTTTTAGTGTGATGGTCAGCATCCCTCAGCTACTTGGGGGCAAAGCCCAGCTTGGCTAGGGTGTGACCCAGCCTCTCCCTTCTCAGCAGAGATGAGGTGGAAGCCTCCATGACGGACATGGCGTCCAGCAGCGGACAGAGACTGAGCATTCCTGAAGCCTCTGGACTCATCCCTGTGAAGGCTCATGTGTTATGCCAGACTGAATAGCGAGCTGTAGAAGGAGCAGGGGAACAGCCAGTCCTAGTGGAGAGGGCTGAAGGGGCCAATCAAGCCTCTTTTGTCAAAGCTCATTTCCAGAACAGGATACTGTGGGGGTGGTCAGCCCATCTGCCTGCGGTGCTTCCACCCACTCAGCCCTCATGGCTAAGGTGGCCGCCAAGCACAGCCAACCCTCCTGTCACAAGCCATCTTCAAAGACTGCCAGCTCCCGGAAGTCTTTCTGTTACCATGGATACCTGATTTTGTCACAGAGGTGGGCTAGTCCCAAATCCAAACCTGGGCCTCAATGCTGCAGTCTTTTAGGAGACAGATGCACCTCTCGCACTGATTCCTGCAGGAGTCGGCCCCAGCCTCTCTCTGAGGCACTGTCTGCACCCCCCTGGCTATCAGAAGCAGCATGAGGGAAAGGCCTGAGTCCATACACGGCTCTCCAGCACAGAGAAAGGGTGAGCTCCCCTTCCCCTTCCTTAACAAGAACTTGAAAAAGGAGAGCCAGGACCAAGAAGGCTGCTCCTTGAACTTCAGTGTGCACATGATTCACCCGGAGATTTGGTCAGAATGTAGATTCAGGCTCATAAGTTTGGGCTAAGTCCTGGGATTCTGCATTTCCCAACAAACTCTCAATCAGTGCTGCTTGTCAAAGGTCCACTATCTAAGCAGGCCCTAGAGGAGCAGGCCTTGTGTGCACAGCATCAAATCACCTGGAATGCTTGTTGAAACACACACACACACACACACACACACACACACACACATCTTTGGTCCCCACCCCTAATAGTGACTCCAAGCTCTGAGAGGTGTGGCCCCCATCTTCTGTATCCTTCAAAATAGAAGGGAAATTCCTTTAAAACTGGTATTTACTCGTTCAGGCAAGCCAATTGTGATTGCTAAAGTCTGCCTGAGACTCTCATGATTCTAAATGTTTTTCTTAATCAATAGGAACATCTAAGTGTGCTTTAGAATAGCAATTTTCAACCAGTGGTATACAGGTATAAGAAGGATGAAAACCACTGCTTTAATAGGCTAATTACATGAGCTCATATCTGCCTCCCTCTGGAAGGTGGGGGCGGGGGGATGCGAAGGAGGTGGTAATGGGGTGGGTTTCGATGTGGAAACCTATTCTCAAGACTCCATTGGTATGTACCCCAAATATAAATATTTTCTGGATCTTAGACCATGGGTTGGCTAGGGTTCTCTTCTGTTCTAAGAACAAAAGCTACTTTGGTGAGCTGTAGTGGACACATTTGTTGTATATATATCCTGAGCAAAAAAATCCAAATCTGGGTTAACAGCTATGGCTGGTATATATTTTTTGAGAACTTATAAAATTTTATGACCTTACTATAAATGTTTTATCAGTACTCCTTTACTCACAGCTAGACGAGTGATAAAAACCTGACGACTATAAACTGAGACCCGGAGTTAGGCTCATCTGAGGAGGGAGGTCCGAGTAGAGAGCAGTGAGGCTGGGGCAGAGGAAATGGATCAGCACAGGTAAGGTCTCCACACCTGAATACAAACCATTTGGCTGGACGGCTACCTTTGGGACCCACCTGGTTTGTTTTTCCAGGTCACATTTTAAACATTAAAAAATTTTCAGTCTGGTCTAATTCCTACCACTGGTCTTTTTCATTCTTTGCACAATCTGGGAAATCTCATTTTCCAAATCTACCTGATCCTAGCTAGGCAATTGAAGACAAGTTACTTATGTTTTAATGATTCAGTTTATTTTCCTATAAAATAAGAGAAAAATCTGTTTTGTCTTTGATAGAAATAAATTAAAGAATGAACAGAGTGAAAATTCTCTTGCAGGGGTTCTTGTTTCTCAGTGTAACTTGCAGGGGAAGGCAGGGGCGGGGCCTACCTGAGGCCTGCACCTCCATGATGTACTGGTGCAGGTCCTGGCCTTGCTGGATCACCTCGAACGTCATGTTGTTCATGGCCAGTTTCCGCTCCGTGTGCCGCTGCAGTCGCTGCTCAGCCAGCGTCAGATCCTCCGTGTTGAAATCATTCATCTGTCGAAGCAGGTCTTCATTCCAAGCATCCAGCTCTGCTGTCACCTGTAGGAGAACAACCTCAGCCTCCTGGGTCCACAGAATACTGGGTTCAAGCTCATAGACTTCCAGCTGATTTAGCAACCAGCCTTGGCTCTAGTCTCCACTGTGAATCTTTTCCATATCTAAGCTACATTTAAGCAACAATACCCTGCACCCATGCTTTTAAAGGTGCTCTCTTTGTGTTTCAATATCTATGGCAACAATAAAGGAACAGTAGCAAACACAACAAGATGAATGACGTTCTTGCATATTCCATCAACTGTCTCTAACAATGACCCAGTGAGGAGGTAGTGTGGAGATCTCCAGGTCCATCCTATAGGAGAGGAAACTGAGGCTCACTTAGACAGATTAAATGGCTTATCTAAAGTCAACTGCTGGCAAGAGCCTGCAGACAGAGCTCAGGTACACCAACTCAGTGACACTGTTCACTACACCAGAACTATTACTTTAAAAAATATCATCATTGAGAGGTCATTGGAATTAAAGCTAACTCTTTTGAAGAAACAAAAATGGGGATGGAGAAGTCAGTGAAAGGCTTAAGTATTCCATCAGGTTAGAGGTAGTGTTCATTAAACCCAGGGACCCATCTGGTTCCTAAATTCGGATTCTCTAACCTCTTTTACAAAAGCTGATACCTGGAAATAGAGATTAGATAGATAGCACACTTTCAGAAATGCAAGATTATATAGAATAGAAAAACATCTTGATTTTAACAAAGACTGAAGTATGAAATAAATGTAAAGTTTCTCCTAACATGAATTTTCAAATCAGTTGTTTTGTAGCTTCATTCATATTACTTAGCTAGTTGATGGAAATGCTTCTTGATAAATAGATTTTTATATGTCTTTTACAGTAGCCGCAGTCATTCAAAGTTGGAATTCAAGTCCTCAATTGTATAATAAATTGCACCTGATATATAAATCAAATGAAAATATTTGAAATGTAGTTTTTTCAAGTATTTTATCTCATGCTATTCTATGGCAATCGTTTGAAGACACATACAGCATATATTTCTTTTTTATTTTGCTTTTCCCCCCATGTTAAACATACTATCTTAAGACCACCATTATGCCTACCCAACACCATCCATTTCGTATGTTGTATCAGTATTTCATTTCTTGCTACTTTTAAGTAGTATTTTAATGTATAGATGACTCACATTTGTTTCCTCTGCTGATGAACTTTCAGGTTGTCTTTATTAGAATTTGGTTAAGAATAAGACTGATGTCAAAGTTCTTACACAAGCATTTCTGTAAACACAGTTTTCTGTCTCTTCGCTGCTATGCTGAATGATACCATAGATTATGAGACAGGTATATGTTTAACATTCCAATAAAGAATCTTACTTTCTTAAAGAATGTGTGAAAGTTAACTGATGCACGTGCTTACCATCATTTGGTATTATCAATTAAACTTAGCTACGCTAAGATATGTCTTATTATGGCTTTCAGTTGCATTTTCCTTACAACTACAGTTAATAAATTATAGGAATATTTATCATTTAGTTTATCTATATTTGTAAAATATTTTTCAAACTCTGTGACCATTTAAAAATACTTTTATTATTATTTTTTATAAGTTCGGTATATTCTGGCTTCACGTCCTTTATTGGAAAATAGACCAAGGAAAACTTGTCCATTTTTTGCCTTACCCCCAAAAAAGCTGTTTCTCTTATTTTCTAAGGAGGGTAGAAAAATTTCCCTTAGAAACAAAATCATTAAAAATAAAATATGAACAGAGAAGTCTGAATTTGTGTTCAATTTTAGTGTTTGTTTTGTTTCTATGAAACTGAATCTATGAAAGGTTATTTGTTGTAGGCAGATTCCAGAGGGTCTTAATGCCCAAAATCTGTGGAGTGGAAAGGAAAGAGTCCTGGCTCCTGGTGAGGAAGAACAAAATTCACTGAGGTGATCGAGTTGGAAGGATGAGGCTCAGAAGGCTGATATCCTGGGAACCTGAATATAAACTAAATGTGAAATATGCCTAGAATTATATATCAAGTTTCTATATTTATGTCTTTTGCTCATTTCTATACTCCCCCATCTTTACCATGTGCCACTATTATGCTAAAGAGCCTGTCTGTTGTTGAACCTGAAAATGACAACGTCAAAGACTACTTGACCACAAAGCCTGATCTTCAGGCCCTCCCCCACCCCGAACCTAAATGCCCTTCAGTTTCCCCACTTTTGCCCAGCACTGATGACAAGAACCTTTGAATTGTCTGGTTTGTGTAGTACTTGTATTTTCCGAAATTTAAATTATTTCATGTGTCCTCAAAGAACATTTTTTAGATTCCTCCGCCCTACCCATTTTTTTGAGTGCAAGGGTGACATATATAGAAGGACCTCATTTTGCTTTTGAAGAAAGATCAAAGGACTGAACGTGTTTTGCATGAGGGAGACCTGAAGTCAGCCCCTGCCACTATATGATCTCCTTGAGAGCCACAGAGCATGGTCTCAAAACTAAAACATAAAGCTTTATTTGATGGCATTACATTAAGTTAAGAAGTTTCCGCACCTCAAAGGAAACAAGGACCAGGCAAGCAGGGGAGTGGAAGAGTGACTGGGGACAGTATTGGAGGAAATTGGTGCATGCCTGAAATTCAATCATGAATAACTTGGTAAATCTGTAATTCGAGCTCGAGCTCGAGCGGGCCCAGTAACGTCTCCATTGGAGACTTTGTTGTTACTGTGTCTGGCATATCGAATACTCTCGGTAGCTTGCTGGGCTCTCCGAGAGGGGCAGAGGAATCGAACTCGGGTCGACCATGTTGGCCGTGTGTAAGGCGAACGCCCTACCCGCTGTGCTATCCATGGTGATTCAATTCAAAAAAAGAAGAAAATGTTTTAGTTTAAAAACATGGAGCTCAGAAAGCAACCAATCTCAGAGAGGAAAAAATATATATGCATATATATACATATATATATACACACATCAACTATATATACATAGCTGTGTATAATACATAAGTACACAAGACTCAACTTTTAAAAACATGCTAGTGATCTCTTATATAAGGGTTTACTGGTTCTAGGGTGAGATACAGTAATTTTCACTCACTTTCCTCTAAGGAAGTTTTTTGGATAATTTTTAGCAGATTATTCGTAACAAACAATAGAAAATTATTTAGATAACCACTTTGGGGGCAAGGTTTGGAGGTTGGGGTGAAAACATTCGAAATATGGTGTTGGGTAGGTGTAATGGTGGTGGTATTAGTGCTGGAATATTAAATGCAATAAATTATTGTGAATATAAAAAATAAAATTGAATTAAAAAATTAAATAAAAAATTTAAAAAAAACTGGAGCTTATATTCCACTAAAGAGTAAACCCAGTTTCCAGTCTCATCTCATGCTGTGTTAGCTGAACTAGTGGGCCAATTTGTTCACTAGCCCTGATAGACCGACCTTCGTGGCCCAGTAGTGTTGAAATACCATATTTCTTCTAGTCTGCTCAGGTACTCACCACTATTTGAAGAAAACCTTTTGGGGACTGTGAGATATTATAGGAGTTAGGGTGCTTGCTTTGCATACAGCTACTTTGGCCATAACCCAGGTTTGATTCTTAGTAACATATGAATTCCCAAGAACTGCCAGGAGTGATCCATCAGCACAGAGCCAGAAGTAATCTCTGAGCACAGCTGGATGTGGCCCAAACCTCTCATCGTCCCCCAACCTCTCCAATAAATGAAAAATAAACCTCTGGCAAAAAGAACGTCCTGACACCCTAGACCGAAATGTTTTTCTCTGACTTATCCAGTAACACAGAACATGGACTATTTTGCCAGCACAAAGACAAAGCAGTGAGAAAAAAATATGTGTGAGGGAATTTGGTGATTTTAATTCATTTATAAAAGAAAGTTGAAGAATTTATTCAGAGCAAAAACTAGGGCCTCAACCAAATGAATGAAACAAGAGTGCAAGTTCCCCAAAAGGCAGTCAGCTTCCAATTTTGCTTTCTCATTCCACATAATTAGCTTTGTCTCAGTTCCTGGCCGACTCAATTCTTGGTTTTAGTGGTTTTGATCTCCCTTGCTCTCTTGAATTTAATTATAGTGTGAGGATATGACGACCCTCTTTGGATGATGTATTGGCGATATTTCTACTCTAACAACTCTCTACCCTAGAGCGATGACCATAAGGGACATCAGGGAAGAAGCTAAACAAGAAATTCAGAACTAAGAGTAGTGGGCAATGGGGAGGCTTACTGAAAGAGGAAACTCTGGCGCTTCCTGCCAGCTAAGATTCACCAGATCCAGTATCACACAACCAAAACTGATCAGGGACTTGGTTTAGCTTCCAGTTTGGAGTCTGTACCTGAAAAGAAGCCCCTCCTTCAGTTTCTCCATAGAATCCAGTATACTAAGAGAATATTTGACAATTTTTTTTATCATACCTAGCTCCTTTTATTCCTTGTCCTGTGTCCTATTCCCATCAACTTAACTCCAGATTATTGTTTCGAAGTTGGATATTCCACTGATTTGTCCTTTTTTTTTTGCTTTCATATCATTTTAGGTGCTGATGATCAGGGTGAAAAAGATCATCAGTTGAAGATATTTTACTCTGCACTGTGCATTTATAACAGATGGTGTGATACACTTTAACTTAAAAATCTAATATCCACAATAACCCGGAGGAAACTAAGGCATAAGGGTGGCATCACCCTCTCCCTGGCCACAGAGCTGAGCATTAAACTATGAGTGAATGCTTTTTTGGTAAAGCAGTGGTGCTTTATCAAAAAAGCTGATCCAAGAACTAATTTCTGGGGGCAGCTTGTTTTTCATTTCTCTCACTTCAATGACATGTCACTTTAACGTTCCCTTATATTTAACTTCCAGAAAAACAACTGCAATCTCATGATAATTCCAGTGTCTTTACTTCACATAAATCTTTTAATTGTGTTATTTGAAAGAATCAATTATCTTTGTTTATATTTGTATATGTATACACACACACATATATATATACATATATATATGTATATATATAATTTACCCTTGCAAGG